ATATTTATATGGTCAGCATCTTGTCAATTTTTTTTAAGAATTCTGAATTTCCGATTCTCATCAATGTGTTTTGTTTCATTTTGCTTTGTTTTTATTTATTTACTTTATTTCGATTGTATGTAAGCAACTTTAACATAATCATTTATTTTGATAATAATCAATCAATATTTATAAATCTTATGATCTATTGGTAAAAACTAATCTTTTGTTTGTATTTGTGCAAACAATCGTTTGAAATTTTAAGCTTTAAAGATTTTCATTTTCATATTGAAACGTATAGATTTCATAAATCTTTCTATGTGGGTGTGTGTTTTTTGAGTATGCCGCTGATCATTTTCCATACTCAAGCTAAATAATCTTTTTTTCATAAAGAAAACGATAAGAAAGGATTGATGATTTCATTATAAACTTTAATATTCTTGAGAATTTTTCCGCACGTTTATATTTTGTCGGCAAATGTTTTTCTTCGTACTGTTGTTATTGTTGTTGTTATTGCTGTTGCTTTTGCAGTGATATTAAGTGTTCAGCCATTTTTTCCATATGTGGTGTGTGTTTGTGTTAATGACACTCGTGGGACCTAATAGAGAGAGAAAAAAATTGAAAACCTTCATCAATAAACAAAATGAACTACTGTGGTTGATTGGGTAATCAATCATACAATCAATCAATCAATCGATCGATCAATGAATTTGGACAAAATTATGGACATTTAGTAAACAAATATGACAAAAAAAAGAGCCAACACAGTGAATGAGAGTGATTTCGATCACTTCATTTCAATGAATATTCTTCTTTTTCACATTATTTTTATCACCAAATGTTTCCATGGGAGATACAAATAAAACAACAATTCATTTAATCCATTCATTCAGTTATTCACACCATGCGCTCGCACACATATTCACACGAACGAATGACTAAAATTCAGAATATAAAAACAAAAAATCTCAAACAGCCGTACAATAACACTTGAAGATGTGTCGTACCGTATATTGGAGCACCTGAGATAATTTATTCAATTATATATCTGTATTATTGTTGCATAGAAACAGAAATCTGGAAAAAGATGAAAATTTACAAAAAAAATGACGTTACCCAGGCAATTATGATGATTATTTTGCTTGTCCATTCATAGCAATGACACGGACAAAAAGGAATGAAAAGAAGCAAAGAAAAAAAAATGTCCAGTAACGAATAGTTCAATGAATTGAAACAAAATCAAACAGTTTTATCATTGAATTTCATAATTTAAATCGATATATATTGCCCAGATCATTATCGATGATTGTCAAGACAAGTTGTGTGTGTTATTGTTGCATGATGATTTCAAATGTATCGAAACAAACAAACAAAGGATAAGAAGAAAAAAAAATAAAGTTCTGAACTCAAAAAACACTTACAAGTACCCATTTTCATTATTTTCTCTCCTTCTATAGGATGTGTGTGCGTATAATAATAAAATAAAGTGATCCACTCAAAATATAAATGTCCAACCAACGATAATAATGATGATAATAATGGCAGTATATTAATATTAATAACGATAATCAATAACAATACACTCGAAACAAATATCGATAAATAAATTCAATTTCATTTCATTTTGTTGAATTTTTTTTTGCCAGTTGATTGTTGAAAATCAAATCGTTGCACCAAACAACAAACGACAATAACAATGCAACAACAAAACCACACTTTTGTTCAAATCTTTCAATTCCAAGTATCAATTTGTTTCCATTTTTTTACTATCATTTTTACAAATTGTGTTCCAGATTCATTTTATTTTATTTTATAAAGCTATCAATGAATTTATTCAAATATTATACATCATTGAAAATGGAAATTTGCCGGCAATAAGAATATACAAAAAAACTTCAAGTGGCTTGTTTGGTCCTTGTGTATAGTTTCGGTTACGTTCAATCGTAAATTACCTTGATATACATTACTTTAAACAGTAGCAGTAAATAAGTATACTTGACAACAATTCGAATCGGTACCATCATCATCATCATCATCAACAACAAAACAACAACGATATTACTTCGTAGAAAAACATACATCAGGAAATTACATTAATGGGAAAAATTTTTGTCAAATGATCCAAACTTGCTATATATATTCAACAATCTCAAGTGTTAATATTCGTTATAATTCAGATGGATTTTTTTTCATAAATATTTACAAACATTGAAAAAAATCAAAATAATATTATTGTCATTTATTTGATTTCTTTTGAACAACAAAAAAAATATGAATACTTGAATAATCATCATTAATCATTGCCAAGTTTTACCATAAAAAATTTTTGTTTTTAATTATTAATCTTCAACGCTAAATAGGGAGTTGATGTTTACATTTTACATGAGATTTTTTTTTTAACAACAACATTGTTCATTACTAAAATATAAATTGTCGCGGATAGTTTATTATTGAGGATCCATTGCTAATTGTCGTAGGAGTAAATAACAAGCGACAACTACCAAACACCACCATCATCATCATTATCATAAAGTGATTAACAACTTAGCAAACATTTCATAATTTGTTTTATCTTTATTCCAGCAACAGCAATAACAACAAAAAATGACAAGAAAAAATCAATTCTATAAATGAAAAACATAAGTGAAAAAAATGAATAATAAATGATTTTGCTGACAAATCGTATTAATATTCTGTGTTAATTCCGTTTTTTTCGAGGTTTGTATTTTTTTTTCCGTTCACAATTTGAAATTACACTCAATCAATCAAATGGAATTTCTTTTCTTTTCTTTTTTTGTTGATTCCAAAAATAAAACAACAAATATGATTTTATGAAAGAAAAAAAAATTTGTTTTCTTATTTTGTCGTTGCCGTTTATTTGGATATTTAGGTTGTGCGTGTTTCGGGTCGAAAGATCAAACATTCTTGGTAAATATAAATACAAATTCAAAAAATGAATGTCCAAGTGATCAATTATCTGTCGCTTCTTCTCACACCACAAATAGATATACTGTGTAAAACCGTAATAAATGTGAATGTATGTCCAATATAACGGCATTTGTTTATTTATTTATTTTTTTTTGAATCATTTTAGGAAATTTATTTTTAAGGAAAACAAATTGTATTATTTGTACATGAATATTATGTTTGCAATTCTGAATGAGATGTTTGTTTTGTAATCGATCAAAAATAAAAATCAATTTCTGATCATAATAACAGCAGCAACAGCAACAAATAATGCTAAATAAAGTGGAAACATAAAATTTTATATGCAGAGAATTTGAAACAAATTTACCAAAAAAAAACTTCATCACCATTTTGACATTTAAAATAATGTTGATTATCCCCTTTTCCTATAAAATAAACAGAAATAAAAATTTATACAATTGTTGAAAACAGACGAGACAAAAAAAAATTTGATTCAATTTTCAGGTCATAAAAAAAATCCAAACACACAGAAGCCATTCACAATAATTGATTGGTTTTCATTTCAACATCAACAATGTTGTTTGGAAAACCACAAACACAAACGAAAGAAGACGCTGAAAAAAAAATCCAAACATTTTTTTGATCTATAAAAAGAAATTGGACCAATAAATGGTAAAAGAAAAATAAAAATGAAAGATAATGATAATGATTATAATCATTGATGATGATGATGATGATGTTCAAATGACAAGCCATTACAAGCTAAACATTTGTTTTTGACAATTTTTCTCCTAACAATTTGATATCATTTTCTCACTCTCATTCGTCGACAAAGGGAATATATGGACAAAGTATAAACAAAACAACAACAACAAAAATCATCCATGATGATTTATGCTGACATTTTCGATTTATCTGAATTATATTTGAAGCAAAAAAAGAAAGAGAAAAAAGAATACACACAAAGAACATCAGTATATACAAACACAACAATTTTTTTACATCAAAAAAAGCAAATGATATTTGTTGTTGTTTTTATTGTGAAATGATGATGATGATGATTTGGATGTCGTTGCCGTTGTTGTTGTTGTTGTTGTTGGCAATGATGATATATACACAAACCCATCGATGCGTTTCATTTTTTTCACACTCATTATAGCATCCTTCTTTTTTTGTTTTGTTTTGGTAAATGGCAAAAATGTGTTGGGTGGAAAAAAGGGGGTCGATTTTTTTCCTTTGCTTTGTTTAATGTTTTTGTTTCCTTCAATTTTGAAAGAATTTTTTCTGTATTTACAACAATACCATTTAGATAAACTGCCTGCCCATCATCATGTACATGTTTATATTGAATACAATGTATTTATTATTTTAGTTATTCAAAATGTTTTTATCGTTTTGATAATATACTTAAAATAACTAAAATAGAAAAGTAACTGTAGATTTTTTTTTCAAATGATAAATGGTTCAAGTGATTCATTCTCATTGGTTCTTAACAATAAATAAAAAGGAGTGGCCAGATAAAATATTAACAGACATAGTTTTCGCTATGCCAAATTAGGCCCAACCCAAAAAACATATAATCATTCATTCTATTGTTGATTTAAGGTACAGCCTCTTTCGAAAAATTCTACAATTAAGATAAACGATGATAACAACAACAACATTGAACATCATAGACAGACAGGCATGGTCATAATCAACAAAAAAAAGATAGATAAAAAAAATAAAATAACAAACACACAAGTCTAACAAACAATAATATTTGAATGAACCAACCAACCAATGATGATGATGATGAACACAACATTGAAATCAAAACGACAACAACAACAACAATAATAAAAGAAAGAATAACAGCAGAAGCAATAATAATAATAACAACAACAACAACAAAAACAGTTTTTATTTGTCAATATCTACAGTTTGTTTATCTACACAAAATCTTGTATTAATATTTTGATTATTAATTAACTATCGTAAATATATGTGTTCAAATGTTCATGATGATGATGATGTGTGATTGAAAATAAAATAAAAATCAACAACGACTGTTCAGTTGAATTTTGTTCAGCAAAGAATAAAGACAAAAAAATGAAAATGAAATGAAAACACAAATCAAACATAAATTTCAATTATTCCCGTATTTTTCTGTGTTCGTCATTCATTCATTTATATGTTTGTGTGTGAATATTGTTATTATTCATTTCAATCGTATGAACACCTGAAACATACTAAAAGTTTATTAGTTTTTTTTCAAACAAATCCGAATCAATTTTTTTAAAAAATTGTGCTATTTTTTTCTGAAATAAAATTGTTTATTTTCAAATGATCAACAATGATGAATCCATTATTATATGCATCGGCAGCACAACAATTATCCGACACTGTACGACAACAAATGGAAATAATGCAGCAAATTAATTTACAAAAAAATCATATTCATCATCATACAAATCAAAGTTTTCTAAATGAAATTCAACAACAACAACGTATAAGCCATAAAAATGGCTTATTTATCGATCCATTTATTACGGCTGGACATGCATACCCAACATTAATTTCATCACAACATCAACCAACACAACTACAATCTTCACATCATCACCCTCATTTGAATCAACATCAATTGAATGCATCATTAACAAAATTGTCGGAATTAGAAAATGAAATCAAAAATAGTATTGAATTTGATAAAAATAATGATGATAAAGATGGTGAAAATAATGATGTTAAACAGATGTCCAATCAAAATACAGATATCGATTCCGATATTGATATTGATAACATAATCGATGAAGAAGAAGAAGAAGAAGATGATGATGATGAAAATGATGATAATGATGTGAGGGATGAACATGATGAAAGTAATGATAAATCGATTAAAAAATCTACATCATCGAAAACGAATGTCAAATCAACAAAAAAATCATCCACAGTCAAGCCACCATTCTCTTATATTGCTCTTATTACAATGGCCATTTTACAATCTCCAGGAAAAAAATTAACTCTTAATGGTATATGTGAATTCATTAGAAATCGTTTTCCATATTATAAAGAAAAATATCCAATGTGGCAGAATAGTATACGTCATAATCTTTCATTAAATGATTGTTTTGTTAAAATTCCACGTGAACCTGGCAATCCGGGTAAAGGAAATTATTGGACCTTGGATCCAGCATCCGAAGATATGTTTGAGAATGGAAGTTTTTTACGACGACGTAAACGTTTTAAACGACAACATTTAGATCTATTACAGGCATATGGTGCCTGTCCTATTGCTGCATTTGGTCCAGCGGCTGCAGCAGCGGCAGCAGCCGCAAGTGTTGTTCATGATACGTATCGACAACATGCAATAGCTGCGGCAGCTGCAGCAATATTAAGTGGAACATCACCAACGACCAGAAATATTAATCCACACCATTCTCAACATACATTAAATCCATATCAAACAATATTGAATCATATGACGCCTAATACATTCCCAGCGACAAATCAAACATCATCGATAGATTCATTGGATACATTATCTTCGTATAATATGGCTAGAACAACAACTTTGCCACCTTTATCATCATCATCAGCAAATATTTTGAGTAGAAATGATAATTATATTCTAAGTCAAATTTCAAATGCTCCTAACGCCTGTCCATTATCATCAACATCATCATCGTCATCATCATCATCGCCATTATCACATTCATCATTAAAAAATGCCTCAAATCATTCGAACAATCAACAAATTTCAAGTCCATCCGGTGCATTAACACCTATTTCATTGAATGGTTCATCATGTTCACCCGGTTTAAATGGTAATATCGATTCATCATCAGTAACAATTAATAATAATAAGGAAAAAAATCATCGTACAAAATTTACAATCAATGATATAATTGGTAGTGATGGATCAAATGAATGTCATGAATCAACCAATGTTAAAAGGCCAAGAATTGACGAACAGTCAAATAATGATCAAATAAAAAAATCATCTGATCAAGAATCAGCCGGATGTATATTAAGTCGTATGGCATCAAAACATTATCAATAAAATTACTCAATCAGTTTCCATAATAATCCCAAAGTGCCAATTTTTTTTGTATAACAATCATCATCATCACAAATATTGTAATAATATTAATAATTCAAAAAATAAAAATAAAAAATAGATCAGAATATCAAAAATACAAAATACATGCATGCTATATAATTTGTACTAATAATAATCATAATAATACTTAACAAAAAATAAAAATCAATCAAATAAAATTAATCCGTTCAAAACAAATTTGAAAGAAAAATCCTTTTTTTTCGCTTCGAGTGAAACAAAAACCTGTTCCATTGGCCAAGTGGTTTTTTTTACTTATTTCAAGTGGTATAGGCATGTCCAAAATCTGATTTTGAAAATCAGATGGCAACCAAATGGCTAATCATTGATGCTTGTTTCGAGTGACAATGAAATAAAAAAATAAATAAAATAGAATTCAATGCATGTCATATTGACCAATGGAACAATATCATAATGATCCATATAATTTTGATATTGACATTGTAAATAAATACAATACATTTGATGTAGACAGATGCTCAATCATTATTATTATTATGTTTAATTTTTCTTGTTGTTATTTGCATCGGATTTACAAATGAAAATGAAATATTAAAAACAAATTGACAATGTTAATAAGCATAACTTTGAATGAATCACGCTTACATAACGGTTTGGCCGCATCATTCTAATAATTTGATGATGAAAATGAACATCTGTTCAAATTCAAGAATTTTATTTTATTTTTCTCAAACGTAATATATTTGAAAAAAACTATATTAAGTTTGCAAACAATGTTGTAATCTGCACTTGACACTGATAATTTTTATATATTTAGGAGAATATTGTTTTTATGGAGAAAAAAATCGAGTAAAGGTGACCTAAACATTATCATTTGGATAACAAAAATCGTTCAAAGGATGAAAAAAGAAATTTATTGATTTTTTTCGTCAATTATAACTAATCAGCATCAAATACAAAGAAAAGACATGCCGACAATGAATTGTTGACGTGTCTATGAAATCAATAATGATAATAATAATTGATTGACTGATCGAATGAATGAAAAAATGAAAATCATTTCTGATTTAAATTAATTGATTGATTGATCTTGTCGATTTAAGACAAGTCAAAGATGTTGAATCGAATGCTTCAACCAAAAAAAAAAACGATAAACAAACAAACAAGCAAAATGAATAAACTTTTCGTGATTGATAAGAGCCATTGATTGATATTATTGATATTTGTGCATCAACAAACATCATTGATGCACAAATAGACTTAATTTGAAATTTGAAATTTGATTTAATCAATGATTATGATTATTTCAATCATATAAACATTATTCTAGCTAAAAATTGAAGAAAAAAAACTGCAAATATTTTTTCTTCTTAGCATTACTGTATGATGATATTGATTATCAATATTGCTGCTGCTGTTGTTTTTATGAATTTTTGTTTTTCAATTGAAAAAACAAAAACAAAATGATATCTTGTCATTGTGAAAATGTCAATCAATGAAAAAATCTGAAAAAATTAAAAAACATCTCGACTAAGATCATCCGGGTCATAAATAATCAATATTTGGAGAAAAAAAAACAATTATTATGATCAATAAAAAAATGGATCGAATTTTTTTTATCTTTTTCTGTTCAATCAATTTGTCATGAATTTTGATTTGATGAAACCTAATGTATAATGGAAGAAAACACAAAACGATCCAATTACCATACATGAATTTTGATAAATATTAACAAAAACAACAACAACAATAATGAACAAACAAACAAATAAACAAATCTGCAAGAAAAGAAAATGAATTAGGGCACAAGGCAACAAAAAACATTAACACAAAATCTGGACATTATCATCAGATTCACCGTATGATGATGATAATAAAGATAACATGTATTTGAAACAGAAAAAACAACAACAACTTATCAATTAAAAGAGTGAAAGAAAATCATTCAATGTTTTTGATCAAATTGAAAATTGAATGATATTATTATTTTTTCTTAAAATTTCATAGTCTAATTTGTTAATGTTTTATTCATTCAATGATTAATTAAATGCTAATTTAGCTAATTCTTTTTTCTGTTGATGTTGTTGGCTATTGATTTGATTATTTATTGATTGAATATGATATCGAATAACTGATTCACATCATTAAATGATAAATAAATATCAATCATGATGCCAAATAAATGATCCTATTGCAGATTTTTATCTTTATCTTATATTTTTTTTTATATATTGTATTTACCAACATCAACAACAGAAATTATATTTTTGATTATTGAACAAAAACAAGTCAAAACAAAAACACAAAACAAAACAAAACAAGGGAAAAAATAACACTTTATTCAAAGCAAAATATATACGATAATTTGATAGCAATAAATACAGACAAATTAGAATAAAAGAAAAATATGAAAATTGAAATCCAATATAAATTTAGAATGAATATATTTTTACAAAGAAAAGAATATCATTGTATGTGTTTTTTTATAAATTAATCAATCAATAACAACAACAACATCAAGTTGAAACAACAAGTTGTTTGTGTGTTTTCATATGACCTGATTTTCATTGATTATCATTAAACAACAAAAAAATATTTTGTTGTTGTTTTATAATTGCACAATGTAATTTTAGTCAATATGCAAAGAAATCAAATTTGAATAAAAAAATTCCATGCTTCTAAACACAAGTCATGTAATAATTTTTTTTCTCTCGTTCATCAATCTATCAAACATTCCGGTCATGGATTTACCTCAATAATGAACTCATTATTGTTATTATTATTAACAGCCATTGCTTTGCAACTTAATTTTTCGTACATTTTCAAGCTGTAAGAAAACGAGAGGATAAAGAAAAATACCGAAGAAGAATATATCAATACATTATAAAATATACGGGATTCAACCAAACAAATAACATTAACCAAAAAATGTATATGTGTCCACTAATGCAGAAACATACATACAAAATGGTTGAATGAATAGTTGGCACTTAGTGTTGGAAAAAAAATTCAAATTTAAGCGTAATTTTTCTTTCTTATTTGCATGTAACCAAACATGTACTTGAATTTTCATTCTATTTTATCAAAATGAAAAATGATAATAATATAGATACATTGATCAGACAAGAATGAAATACAGAAATAAAAATAATTGAATCATAGAATGACCGAACATGCCTACACACACCTGAATGTAAAGATAAGTGGAAAATAAATAAATTATAAATTCAATAATCGTTATAACAAATAGAGTTGTTACATGGTTTTTTTAAAAAGCCGCTCTATCTCAATCTAATAAAGATCTAATTGAGTTTCTCTCTCTTTTTCTTACACACACACATGCATGTTATTCAATAAATATTACCAAATCACCTGCGGTGATCAATGAACAAAAAAAATATGGAAACTAAGAAGAAAAAGAAAAAGAATGATTCATTGAATTGCAAAACAACAATTGACGAATCAATCGTCATAAACTTTCATAGAAAAAATTGAATTTTAAATAAAATTTGATTTATAGTTGCAAATTATTATTATTGCAGAATTTATCATCAATTTCAAATTATTGAATTGAATATTATATGATCATTCATGTAAGTCAATAAAATGGCCATAAAAATATCATCAAAGAAAGAACAAAAATAATGGGCATTCCAGAATCATTTAGTTTGATAAAAATGCATGATACACTCTATTAAATAACAATCATTTTTTATTCAAACATTGGAATTTCAAATTCTATTCGCCTCTCATGACAAATGACCACAAATTTACCATTTGAAAATGGAAATTCTTTTATTGAAAAAAATAAAAGAATAAAAGTTTTGATTGAAAAATGGAAATTATTTTTGCTATTCAAAGAAAAGAAAAAACGAAAGGAAATGTAGTCAACAAAACTAAACCGAAAAGGAGATTGGATAAATTTACAACCAAATGTCGCCATGCAGTCTACCAAATGTGAAAAATAAGTTTATAACCTCACCTTTGACCTGACACACATACATATCGAATAAAGAAATCTTATATTCATTTGTAATCTGATATGATAATGACAATACTGATCATCATCATCACTTTACATTTGAAATGTTATTTTGAAATGAATTCAACAAACTTAACACACACAAAGACAGAAAAAACGGCCGGATCTCATTTGAAAAAAAATTGTTTCAATGGTGGTGAGATATTGAAAAAATACCATCATCATCATCAAAAAATTAAGTTAAATTTAATATAGATTATATTAAAATGAGAGAACGAAAGTCATTAACCATTTGATGATCATATGTTTTTTTGGTAACAAAATTACACATGGTCTTCTCATTCAGTTGTTTCAGTTTTTTTTCAGAATGTTTTTCCCAACATTCAAAGGTCAAACCAATGGAATTGGACTGAAGATCATTTCGCTGTCCCATAGAAATAACAATGAATTGCTTTGATTTTAACCATTTTTTCTTCACATTCGTGAGATACATTTAGACAAATAAACAAACAAACCAAATAATCAAAACTTGTTGTACAGATGAACCGAAAATTTAGCGTCAAGCAGTCTACCAAAATGATTTTTAGTTTCTCGAAAGAAAAAAAAATGTCACACTAAGAAAATCGGAATTTTGCATGCAGTCAAACTCTTCAATTGCAATAATTTCATGAGGGAAAAAAATCGCACCTAATACTTGATTCCATATGATGTAATTGAAAAGTTGATTTTGAAACATCGTCATCATTCCACATTTGGACCAAATGTTTGTTTTCCTTTTTTTCGTTTGATTATTACTATTGTTGTTGTTGTTGTTGTTGTTTGCGTTATGTATATAAAACTTGTTGCTTAAGATCAGATCATATTACATTTGAAAATAAAACTCATAAAAAGAGACAGTTAATTCGAGGAACTTGCTTATTTAAATAATAATAATAATAAAATATGATAAAAATAAAAATTCTTGACCATAAAAAACAACTCAATTAAAATAACAATGACAATAATGAAAATAAATTAGAATTTGTTGTTCGAATATTCGATTCGGTTGAATTGAAAATGACTGAATCGATACAAATTGTAATTTTGATTGATTTTTAGGAATAGTTTTTTTTCAAGAAAGAAAAAAATAATGACAAGCAATGTCGGTAATCATAATAAACAAATGATACGATGTGAATATTGTCCCGAACAAACACCATTGATTGAGGACTATCATGCAGGTGATATGATTTGTTCCGGTTGTGGTCTTGTTATTGGTGATCGTATTATCGATGTTGGTGCTGAATGGCGAAAATTTTCCAATGATCAGGTGAATAAATCACGAGTGGGATCATTAGATAGTGAGCTTTATGAATCGATGAATCTATCAACGTTCATATCGAATCGTCCTAATTCTACATCACATCATAATTATAGTCAAAATAATGATGCTAATGGCAATGATCAATCATCAAGTGGACCATTTGTAGAAAATCCATATATACGTCGTGATCCATCACGACCATATTATAATAAAAAATATCTAACCAATAATCAACGTGCTGTGATTGCCGGATTTAAAGATATTTCCGAGATGGCTGAAAAACTTCAGACAACACGTCCAGTGATTGAAAGTGCACAAATGTTATTCAAACAAATGAAAACCAAATTGAATACCTTTAAATCCAGTAGCATACAGATGCCATTAGCATCGGCATGTTTATATGTTGCATACAGAAATCAAAATGTACCACGAACATTTAAGGAAATATGTGCTGTTTCCAAAGCTACTAAACGTGAAATTGCTAAATGTTATAAAATTATATCGAAAGAAATTGGCCAAACAATTGTACAGGCGTCTGTCATTGATTATATACCACGGTTTGTTGCACATTTAGGTCTTTCGAATAAGATTGAGAAATCTACTATAGAATTTATACCGAAAATTGAATCAATTTTATCCGGTCGTAATCCAAGTACGATCGCATCGTTGGCAATTTTGTTCGCAATCATTGTAACTGGAACAAACATTGAACAGAATCAAACGATTACGAAAACAACAAGCTTATCAACAGAAAACAATGGTGGTAATAATGATTGTAAATGTTGTTCCAAACAATTAAATCAAACGATCAGACGAATATCCGAGGTAACCGGTGCTGCAGAAACAACCATCAAAGAAGTTTATCATATTGTTAAGAATCAAAAATATAATGAATTATTTCCCAATGTCTTTGCTTTACAAGAAACCAATTAAATATTGACAAAATAATATCGAAGTAAAATGTGATTTTTATTTGGCATATTTACATTATTTGTTTTCTTTTTTTTGATGAATAAATATCATTTATCATAACGAATTCATTCTATTCATCCCATTTACGAAATTCACAACTATCTGGTGGTTTTACATCCACTTTACCTTTTCCTACATCATTCCAGTTTGTACTCAAAACAGTACCATTCGATTCAACAAACGACTTATTCATTGCTCGACGTAAATTCTCATCACCCGAAGAATATATACGGCGGAATAGATCCTCAACACCACCTTCTTCTTTTTCCTCTTCTTTTTCTACTTGTTTGACTAGTTCATCCCAATTACGCGTCATTCCTTTCGTTTTGGCATTAGTATTATTTGATGATGATCCGGAATTCGATTCAGAATCCTGTGACAAGGAATTCATCGGCACACCACGGATCACTGGTTGATTGCATAAACCGACCTTTTAAAAAAAAATCAGAAAATCATTAAAAAAATCTCTGATGACTAAAAATAAGTTACCTCAAGTTTCCCCCAACGATAATTGGCCACTTTACAGAGCTTAATTTCGGCCTTTACAGATGTAACTTTCCAATTTGATTCCTGTGGTTTAATTTCATCATTTAGATCAAAAATAAGTTCGTAAAAAATTTTTTGATTGTCATTTTCTGTCACAGGTTTATAATTGAAAATTAAACGGCGTGGTTGAAAATCAATATGAACTTTTGTTTTATCAATCTGTTTGATCATAACGCCGATGACTATGAATTGATCTGTTTCATACCAATCATATCGTGGCGTTATCTTTTTCTCGTCATTATTGGAAATCGATTGTTGTTGCTGTTGTTGATCCATTATTATGCATTAAATGATTAATCCGCAATGTTAAAATTAAAATCAATAAATCAACAAAAGAAATTTTTAGATTGCAAATTGGGCTGTAAACAAAGCTCACGTGCATGCGTTTATGGCTCTATTGAAATTCATATAGAACGTAAATCCTAAAGCCATCTGGAAATGAAGAAAATCATTCAACAGTTTGATTGATATAATATCGAATCAAACATAAACAGATATCAAATACACAAAAATGATGTTAGCTATCAAGAATAGATTTCAAAATAAATTAATTTGAAATGAACAATCGATTCAATGATTTTATAATTGTGCGTTTCACAAATTCAAAACGATGGATCGACAAAAAATAAAAATTTCGATGGGATTACATTATTTCCCTCTATTTTTTTTACCCCTTGTATTTGTCTTTGAAAATTTTAAGTGGTATTATGAGTACAAACACTCATATTGTTATTCTCTTACTTTCTAACACAACATAATCATCGTTTTTTTTGTAATAATATCAATTTATGCTTGCATTTATAATCAAAAATATAATGGCGATGAGGATGACAATGACATTGAAATGTTTGCAACTTTATCCAAATGTTATTGTTTGTATATGACATTACATGATGATGTATATATGCAATGCATTAACTAACATCGAACACAATAATACGTTTACGGAACCAACTATAAAAAAACCAAAAAGAAAAAATGATTAAGGTAATTAATTAATCATAAATAAAAAGGTATAACCAAAAACAAAACCAAAATACATTTATCATCAAAAAGAAGTTTATTAAAGCCATATAAAATTATACTTATTTGTCATCGTCATCATTATCGATTGTCATTTGTTTTGATTTTTTCCTTCAAATTTGATGTTCACATCTTTTTTTCTCGATTGATTTTTTATTTTTGTTTTCTATAATTGCAAATCGTTTTTGTTTTTGTTTTCTTTCTAACGCAATCACAAGAATGTCTAATAATACAATTAATTTACGTTCACTAATGCTGATGGATTGTAAATTAAGACGTGCAAAAGTTTCATTAATCATATTATCGCTGTTACAATTGTTGGTTGTATTCATCTATATTACGATCAAGGATAATCTCAAACGGATATCAACATCGCCCTCATTCAATTTGAAGGTTTGTTTATTTTTATTGACCTTTCATTGGTTATTTCAATAATTCTTTCAAAATATTTAATCACAGGATGATATGTTCATATTCAATCTGATCACATATTTTGGCCTTACATTTTCATTGGCAGGTTTAATTGTGGCTGTATTTGAAAATCATTGCTTTATCAGTTGTTATGCTATCACAAATCTTGGTCATTTAATTGTTGTCATGACAAAAACATCACAATTATTATTATTTGCCGGTTATTTTGCCATAAATATTGCCATTATTATGGTTTCATTTGTTTATTGTCATTTATTAAGGATGAAGATGGTACAATTACATTTACATCCAACAGCAATGAATCACGGGACACAAAACAGCCATGGAAGTGGATCAATTTTTTGTGTTCAAGAAAATATTTTCCGTCAACCAATGCCACCATCATATAAAGAAGTTGTCAAACATCCGGATAAATATCCATGTTTATTTGATACAATTCATACACCACCGACTGAACAATTACAAGATGAAGCGAATGCCAAAGTTCCAGAGTATTCAACCATTTATATTTGAACTTAAAAATTTTCATTCATATGTTCCTTCCAATTCATTGTATTGATTTTATAAATATTATTTTATTGTTTTATAATTCATTCGATACTCATTGCTTTATTATTGATAATGATAAAAATAAATATTTTTGTTTTGTTTTTTGAATAATTCGAGATGAAAATTTCGTAACTTTGTCTATGACGGGAATCTTCATATTGCGCTAAAACTCACTCTCATTCTTTTTCACACAAACAAACACATTGTTTTAATAACCGACCCAGATTCATTGATTCTGGTGTTTGTTTTTTTCTATTTTCCTCAAATTCTTGAATATTATGGCCATCATAGGAAACAATTATCCGATAAGATCATTTTCAATGATATTTCACTTTAATTTTGATTAATTTTTTTTTAAATTTACATCTAACTTAATCATTGGCTGTTGTATTTAGACTAAGTTCATTTCAAGAAAAATATTCAATTATAAAATGGGAAAAATAGCTGCCATTGTTGATAATGTAACTATTAATAAAACAAATGATCTCAACAATATTAATTCACAAAAATCATCTCAACCCGAAGATAAAATTGACACATCAAAAATGAATGGTTTCATTTCATCTTTATCAAATGATAATAATCCTAAACAAAAACCGAAATCAAAAATGGCTTTACCGAATAAAACGAATGGAAAAATCGAAAATAAAAATAACAAGACAGTTGCCAAATCAAAAAATGACAAACAATCGAAATCAAAACAACGACCAGAATCTTCGAAGAGAATTCGTAAAAAAAGTCGTTCATCGGTTAAAATGAATGGTTCATCTGGATCCATATCAAATTCATTAGCTTTAGCATCATCATCATCAACAAATGAAATGAGTAATAGTAATAATCAGAAAAAAATTTCTCCATATCAAGATCTAACTAATATTCTAACATATTTTGATCCAACTAAAAAAATTCGAGATCCACTTTCAATGGTGGAATGTCATCAGTTTGATGATTCCATTCAACCACCAGTGGTGGTAAAAATTAAGCTTGAAGCATTACTATTAATGGACCTTCATTCACATTGTCATCATAATGAAGTGATTGGTTGTCTTGGTGGTTATTATTGTCGTGTAACAAAAACATTATATGTATTAACTACAGTGCCTGGTTCTTCTGTTGACGATCATTTTAATCATTGTGAACTTGATCCTGTTTCATATGTTGATGCAATAGAAGAATTTGAAAAACAAAATTTACAGATGGTCGGATGGTATCATTCACATCCGAAATTTTTTACTAAACCATCTATAGTAGATATACAAACACAGAAATATAATCAGGGAATATTTTCAGAACGTTATAGTAATAAAGAAAAAAATAAATCAACAAATAATAAACAGCAACAAGTGAGTGCTGGTGATTCAGAGGATAGACAACGACCAATAGTACCTTCGGAAGAAAAGGAACGAACATTTGTTGGTTTCATTGTTACACCATTTCTTGTTCAGCCGATCGGTTCAACATTAACATCATCGAAATCATTTACTAGATATCAGCCACATTCTGAACGTTCGATTGGTTCAAAATTTATTGCCAACAATATTTGTTATGATTATCATCATCGTTATCATTCATCTTATTGTTATTTTACGCCTGAATTAAATTCCATATTAGCCAGTACGATCAAATGTTTTTGGGTTAATGGACCTCAATTCAGTAAAGATGTAGGTGAAAAAAAATTATTCCTTTTCGTTATAGTAATTTTATTTCATTTTCTAAAATAGCCGATGAAAAATAACCCACAACGAGCTCATTGCCTTGTACCATATGAGATCGAAACAACTATGATACGTGATGAATGTTTCATATCATCCATGGCCAATGGTTTGAGTCAAATGTGTATAAAAATTTTTTCTGAAAATAAAAAGAAAGCACAATCGATTGTGGATTTATTTAAACAATTTACACGAATAGGTTCGATTAATATCAATTATCTGGAAAAGGTAAGTCTTTTTTTTTGAATAAATTTCAATTAATTAAATTTAATGTATCATTTAATTTTAATTGACATTTATAGATTATTGCTTCATTATCACACCATCTTCAAAATCCAAATGTTAATTATTTATGTACTGAAGAAGAATTTGCTCGTATTCGTGATCAATGTGTCGCAATTTTGACCCAAGAATTGATTGGGAATCAGAAAATTCATGGTCGTACCACTAGATATCGATGATTTAAAATTTAAATGGATGAAAATTATTTAACATTACGTTGATGATAATAATTTTACTGGATCCCAACATTTATAAATATTTTCATATATTTTTCATTGATGTACAAAAAAAAATGTTTCGAATATTTTTAAAATTTCAAAATAATGTATCACCTTTAATCCATATGACTGAATGTCTATAGTATTTGTAGCCTTTTTTCTCATTTGAATCAACATTGATATAAGTTGGTTCTTTATTTCGCATTTTTTTAATATCCAATCAAATATTTTCGAAATTTTTTTCTTATATCACTTACATACTTTATAATTAAAATTAAAATTTTTTTCTTTTCTAATTGAAAATTCTCATTCATTTGATTTCGTTCAGTGCTGATGTACTTCATGATGATTGACATTTTTTTTTTGCTTTAAATTATTGGTCTTTTCTCCAATGAAATCAGATCATTGGATTTTGATGAAAATTAATATTAAAAAAAAATTCGTAAGCGAAATTCACATGAGGCTTAGGTAAGCAAACCAAAATTTAGTTGGCAGTATAAAAATATAGAAAAAATTAATCAATTTGAAAATAAGATGATACACTGAAATCATCAATTAAATTTGATGACACCGTCATTATTTTATCGACATCAGCATTGAACTTTATTTCAATTGATTGATAAGTGGATAGATTACGCAGTAACAAAAAAACGATGAATTGAACAAATAATGAATTAATCAATTTCCTGAGACCTTTTTTCTAGCTTTGTTATCATATTTGTTGGGTATCAATTTGATCGAGAATAAATTTGAATTAATCACATTTTTTTGCTGAAAAATTAATTTTTTCTGGTCGTCATGATCCTAACAATGCACATACAAATTTGCTAGTGAAGCAAAATGTCAAATGTTTTATGTTTATCTGAAAAAATGTTTACTGTCCATTGAGGATTGACGATTCGAGCATCTATAAATATTCATCGATCATCAATGATTTTTGTTCATCGTTAGTTTCGATAAAATCGACCAACATTTCAAGTTTAGTTAACAATTATCTAAGTCGATTTTGATTCTACAATTCATCACAATAACAACAATGAAGACCTTGTTGGGTCTCCTGTTTACTTCGGCCCTATTGATATCGGCAGGTATGTGAAATTCAATTTGACAATGATCGAATTAATTACAACATTTAATAAACAGTATGGAGTTCCATTTCGCCGATCCGATTGACACCCGGACAAAGTTATATTTATTCCTATAATGGTCGTTTGATCTCCGGTATTGCACAATTCGATTCAGATGCAGCCCTAATGGAAATCAAATCCGATATTGTTCTTCAAGCTGAACAACAAGGTTCCCATATTGCTATGCAGGTAATGTTGACAAATATTTGTTATCAATGAACAAAACGATTGAACCAAATTACTCTTTCAAATAGATGACGAACATTCGTATCGGTAAACACAATGGTCCAGTATCGGAAAATCTTTTCGGCAATGTTGTCGTTGATCATCAACCACAAAAAGAATATGAAGAACAACTTTCGAAACCAATCCGATTCTATTGGGATAATGGTCAGATTAAAGCCTTTGAAGCTGATGGCAATGAACAGGAATGGTCAATTAATATTAAGAAATCCATTCTTAGTTTGTTCAATGTTAACTTGGCTCCAAAACGTGTTGTGACTGGCCAACAATCAGTACAAAAGATTAACAATATTTTCGGAAATCAACAACAACAACAATCTCGAACAAGCGATGGAAAATTGGTTGTCTATCCAGTCTATGAAGACGGTACAAATGGAGTTTGTGAAACCGTATATCAAGTCATTTCGGCTAAAGATAAATGGGCCACAGCTAATACCGAACGAAATGAAGAATCGACTGAAGTATTCAATGTAACTAAAACACGAAACTATGATAATTGTTTGACACGACCAAGTTTAGAAAGTACAAACACTGATTATCGTGGTGCACCAGTCATTTGTCACGAAGGAAAATCTTATCCATTGATCGATGGCTACTATCCATCATTGAGTGAAGAACATCAACTTGGTGGTTGTCAGCAACAACATCAAGATCCAACTAGCCAAGATGGTTCAGCTGTTAGTCTTTATAATTTTGTTAAATATAACATTTCATCAACAAAACGAACAACACAAATCGATTCAGCATATGGTCAAGGCAAAACCGTTTATGAAACCAAAGGTAAACAATTGGTAATCATTTCGGAACAGAATGTTACCTTGATGGATGTCATTCCAACTGCTAAACTCGGTGCCATCCGACAGATCCGAAGCATTTTGGTAAGAACTTTTCTATATTTTTGAATTTAACTAATAATTTCGTCAAAATCTATTTAGTTGCATCAAGAATTGTCATACCGAATCCCCGAAACTGAAACTCAATTGGACATCCCATACTATCATTTGTTTGGACAAATTGATAAACAAGAATTGAAGGAACTTATTCCCAGTTTATTGGCCTCAGTATCCTCTGATATCGAAACCACATTGAATGAACCATCGAAAAACACAATGCAAAAAGTTGTTCAACTGGCTAACGCAATGGCCGTTTTGGATACTGAACATTTTGAAGAATTATTCGAAAGAGTAGCAAAACAAGGCAGATCACACCGTGCTACTGCACACGAACAAATGAACCGAAAATTATTTTTGGATTTACTCTGCTACGCTGGTACTACCGACGCTGCTTTGTTCATCAAAAAATTATACGAACAAGATCGCATTACAACCTCTGAAGCCAAAGAAATGATTGAATCTGTTCCACAAAATTTATTCTTAGTCGATGCTAAAGTTGTTGAAGAATATTTAAACATGTTCCTTAGCGAAAAAGTTCAGAAACAACGTCATTTAGCCTCGTCAACTGGTATTGCCTTAGGTAAAATGATCAACCAAGCTACCGTCAAAAGACAACAGATGAGAGGTGACATCCACGATGAACAATCGATTCGACGTCAACAACATGCACAAGCTGAATTGAAACGAAACACAATTCGTGTCCGTCGATCGGCCCCATGGCATCAACATTTCCGTCATGATTTGTTGGAACAAAATGAAGTTTCACAAGTGATGCAAGTATTAGCCAAAGCTTTGAAAACATGTACAACTTTCCATCAAAAAGTTACTTTGATTGAAACTTTGGCCCATACCGGAACTGCCGAAGCATTGGCAATTCTAGCTCCATACGTTCAAGATAATGTTTCAAACGAAGACATGCCCGGATATCCAGTTGAAAACGAAAATGAAATCAGTCAAGAACGTAACTTTGTCCGTCAAGTTTGCATTTATGCTTTGACACATATAGCTTCGGCTAATACTCCACAAGTACGAGCATTGATGTTGCCAATATTCCAAAACAAAAATGAACCATATGAAGTTCGTATTGCTGCCTTCACTGTATTGCTTGGCTGTAATCCGGGTAAATATGTGTTAGAACGAATCAGTACCGAAATGCATCATGAAAACAATCGTCAAGTGAAATCATTTGTCATCTCTTCATTGAAAACAATCGCCAACTTTACTGAACCATCAACCAGACAATTGGCTGAAGATGCCCGATTTGCTTTAGGATTTGCACCAAAAGATGAATATGGAATTTACTATTCGAAAATGATCGGCCAAAGTTATTACGATGAAAGCAAAAAATACGGTATGAACATTTTGGCCGAATGGGTTTCCAATAATGTTTCGAAATTCCCACGATCCGGTTATCTTGCCGTTCGTGAAACCGATGGACCAACACAAGAAATCCCAATCGAATTGGGCTACAATGTTAAAGGCTTGGACAGCATCATTGAACGTTTGACATCATCAAACGGACTTATCAACGATGTACTTCAATCGTTCAACTCATATGGTAAAGATCGTCGTTTAATGAAACGAAAAGCCGGATCTGCACAAGAAACAATGCGAACATTGAAAGAAAAATTAGATCTTACAGTGCGAACTGAAGAAGAACCAAAAGCAACAATCTTTTTCAAATTATTTGAACAAACCAGCTATTATGCATTCGATCGTCAATATGTTCAACAATTATTGGATTCAGCTGAAGATTCCATCAAAGACATTATTAGTCAATTATCGCAAGGTCAACAATATCATTACATCAAATTGGTTTTACCTAAACAAATGTACAAAGTTGTTTCATCGGAAATTGGTTTGCCAATCGTTATTACACAACGATATCCAACCGTTGTTTCAGTCAAAATTAATGGAGCTAAAGTTGAATTTGTCAAACGACAACAATCTGAACAAGAACAAGATCGATCATCATCGTCATCATCTGATTCACGATCTTCGTACCCACAAGGTGTCAATTTCACCGCTCAAATTGAACCCTCAATCCATCATAGCAGCTATTATTTTATCTTTGCTCTTACACCAATAACCACTGAAGCTATTGGTGCACATATTTCCAGAGAATCACGTGTCGCTATTCCAATGGATTTGAGTGTCAATTATTTGAGTTCAACTAGACAACTTAGCTGGTCAATTACACCAAGAGTACCACAAGAAGTTTATCATCATCAAACTCAAGTGAAAACTTTCATCGCCAAAGCCATAATTGCCGGATCACCCGAACGTGAATGGTTATCAGAAACAAGTTCGGTTATCCGTACTCAACCGATTCCATTCAAATATGAAAAACAATATGGCAAACGAGAATTGGGCATTGGATTTAATGTCAAAGTTACAACTGAAAGTGCAAAACGTTTCAGTCAACCATTATTCAGATCGGAAACAACTGAAAAATACGGCTATCTTGCCGGATTAATTGAATTATGGAATAATGATGAAATGACACCATGTGCTGTTCATTTGATGTTGGATGCTGATGAGCAAAATCCCGTGACTGGTATGGAAATGGCAATCCGATACAAAAAATTACATCTTGCTGAAAATTTTGATTCGGAAGAAACCGATGATGAAACTTCTGATGATGATGAATATCAAGAAAACATTATTCGTAATCGTCAACAACAGATGTGGGATCAAAATGAAAAGATAAGTAAATGGTCATCATTGAAAGATATGAAACAATCGATCAAAAATATGGTACAAAAATGGAACAAAGTTCAATCCAATTCCGAACGTTCAGTTTCGGATAAAACTGATATCGAAGCTCATTGTATCGAAGTTAAAGCTCGAACACAAAGCGCTGAAGCCAGCAAAGTTGCCGTAAAATTTTTATTGGCTCATACCTATGATTTGAAACACTATTGGACCAATGTACGTGCTCATGTCAAATCACTTGAAACCGAATCGGAAACCAGAGAATCACAAAAGAACCTTTGTTTCGATTCACATGTTGCATTCCCAAAACAACCAAGTGAATTCTATTATGAACCAATTGCCAATCAAGAAATGAAAGCATCAATCAAAGCTCAAGTTGATTTCGGACATAATTGTCAAACTGGTAGCCATGTCAAAATATCTGGTCATATGGAAACTGGTGAAGAAAAAGTCATCTTAGAACGTGATCTCGAAAGTACACAAGATACTCTTGCACCAGTACAAAAAGATTGGTTCTATCAACAATGTCAAATGGATCGTGCTGATGGCAAAACCGCAAGCTTTGCTTGTCAACGAGCTTTGGTTGAAGATTCATACTTCAAACAATTGAAACTTGACATTGAATATGATGGTATTTCCGATGAAGTTTATAATTTGACCCACAAATTGGCTACAGCAGCTAAAGTTGCCTTTTATAGCCATTTGGATGAAAATCGAATGGCCGAAAATGAAGAAGGTAAAATGAAAGTTACCGTCCAATATTCAACAAGATTCGCCAACGCTCCAATGGTCAATGTTGAAGTTAAAACACCAAAACAGAATGTATGCTTCAACAAAGTTAACACTCCATATTTCCGACCAGTAAGTTAATATATTGATTCGATAGAAAAAATTTTATCAACAATTTTTTCTTTTCTTATTAGATTTCAGCTTTGTATTCAACCGTACAAGTTTACAAAAACTTGTTGACCGCATACGAAAGTACTGGTCGTTGTTCAATGATGGAAGATTACATTCGCACATTCGATAATGTTAGCGTTGAATTGCCCGATTCAACTTGTCAATATTTATTGGCAAAAGATTGTTCATCATTCGAACGATTCTCGATTTTAGCTCGACAACTTGATACTGAAGCAAAAACAAAAGAAGTCACCATTTATGTTGATGGTAAAGAAATCGTATTGACACCACCAACCAGTGAAAATTCGGCACAAATTCGTGTTGACGGCCAAGTGAAAGAAATGAAAGCCTCAGATGCTTTAGTTATGTCGGATAAAAAAATGGTAATCTATGTTCGTGAAACTAGTTCATCAGCATCATCACCAATGGTTGTATTAGAACATGAACAACATGATTTTGCCGTTTTGTATGATGGTAAAAATGTCGAAGTTAAAGTTGGTCAACAATACAAAGGTGAAACTTGTGGTATCTGTGGTGACAACAATCATGAATCTGAAAATGAATTTACCGGACCGGATACTTGTCAATATAAGGATAGTGAAGACTTTATCAACAGCTATGGTATGGCTGGTCAACATTGTCAACGATCACCAAAAACTAAAGGTGCCAAAATCTGTGCCAAAAAAGAAGCCACAATCAACAAATACGTATCACCAAAATATCGATCACTTGCTCAAATGATTGGTGAATACAAAGCTCAACAGAGTACGAATCGAATGAATCAAATTGAACGACGAGCACAACAAGAAGAAATGGCTCGTACCCAGCAAAGACTTTTGGAACAAGCTTTAGCACGTCAACAACAACAGCAGAAAAATGCCGCAACTAAAAAAGAAAGTGAATCGATCGAAGATGAAATTCAACTTTATCGTACAATTTCCATCCGTCAAGGTGATCGTTACTGTTTTTCAATGCAACCAGTTCTAGCCTGTATTGAAGGTCGATCTCGTCCAACTGAAATGCGACCACAATTATTGCAATTCCATTGTCTTCCTATACACTCAGTTTCAGCACAACGACTTGTGAAACAATCACAATATCGAGTGTTGGAAATTTTCGGTAAAAAACCAGCCGAATTAGCTCTTACACTTCAAGTACCGGTTGCCTGTCAAAAAGCTTAAATTATTTTCTGTCTCGCACACACATACACAAAAAAAAACTTCACCTCCCCAATATTTAAATTTTAAAATGTTCAATAAAAAATATTTCATTTAAATTATAATTTTTTTTCAGCGAAAAAACCTTGTTTGCTGTGTGAAATAAATTTGTCATAATTTTCGCGAACATCACTTTTGGATTATCAAAACAGTGATTTATTTTGATCACACAAATATGAAAACCGGTTAAGAAATTATAGTTGTATCAATCAAAAACGTGTAACGATTTCCGGATTCAATTTCGTTTGTCTATACGCCATTAATTCACGTTTGGTTATTTCCGTATATTGATTACAAAAAAAAAAAAATCAAGTCTTATGATCTCCCAACTGTTCATGGGAAAATCGAGTTTTTTTTTATATTAATATCGCGATAACGAAACAAGTTTTTTTCTCTTATTTTCTTTTGCTCTTGCTCAAATCAAATGAATTAGTTTGGTTTCGATTCAGAAAAATTGAAAAATTGTTTCAAATCAAATTTTATTTAATTTTTTTTTTTTTGATGAATCAACAATTGACTTTTAATTAGAAAAAACATTGATTAACAGAATTGAATTCGTAAATTTTTTTTAGACAAAAAAATGAATAATATTCGTAAACGAGCAAATATTGGAAAATTTTTTAAAATTTTTAATTTAGTTTTTTTTACTATTTGGACGGACAGTCAGTAAATTAGCAACAAATTGATAGATCTTTTTTTTCATTGATTATCGGCCAGCAATACGACTCAAATGAAACATTGCATCTTTAAGACGAAAAATATAATCCTCAAGTTCTTCCAAACATTCACGAGATTCATTGAATAATTTTGCTGGTAACATTGTACCATGTAAACGTATGATACGTTCCATTTGTTGATACAATTTATTGACAATTTGTTGCTCATCCTGGATCCATCCACGCATTGTTGTACTATGTTGTGTGACAATTTCTTTGGCCATATATGGTTTTGATTTGACCATTAATTGTCGAAGTTCGGATTCAATATTGATCAAAGGCAGTGACATTATTACAAATGATGAAAATGCTTCAAATTTTGAAACAAATGTTGATGATCGAAAACAATAATAAAATCATACACAAAAACAACAACACAAACGATATTGATTCAAAAACTAAAAGTTGGATATCAAAATTCGTTCATTTGTATCGAGTTTAAATACTTTACCGAAAACCGAAAACCTTTCAAATATAGGAAAAGAAACTGTAAATCTAAAAACAGAAAAAAAATCTCTTCGAAACCACAAACACGGGATGGATATGACAATTTTACCATTCTCTATGGTACTATCCGGCTCACCAAATCTCAATCCAAATGAAAGTAAAAATATTGTCATTTAGATTTTGTCAATTTTTTTTCAATTACAACCAGTTTATAATCATTGAATTGAATCAAATCCAATTAATCAGATTTGAAATACTTGTTTTACAACATCTGTAACAAATTAATTAATCAAAATGATGTTGCATTCATATTGCAAAGGTTGAAATTTCTTGATTTGATTTTATTTCTTTTTCAATCCTTGAGTTTATAACCATTTCTATTGAAATTTGAGGGTGATATGGTAATTTTTTTTGAATTAAATCTGAATTGCTTTTATTCATGGAAATTAAAAAAAAAATTACAAAGAATCATTAGATCTTGCTACAGTTGACTAACATGTTAGCTATATGTGATAAGCATGTTTTTTATTCTATGTTTTTTTTAAAAAATCGTTACAGAATTCAGAGATAGATTTTTCATATGGTTTGAAATGTTTCAGTGTGCGTGTGTGAATGTTGAGATGATCCAAAAAGGATGTAGTCATCAAAAGTCCAAAGAAAAGCCAACGAATCGAACATTTTAACGTTGACAACCGCCAACAAATTTTAAATCATAGAGAGCATCTTTTATTTTGAAAATGTATTCTTCCAATTTTTCTATAGTATCACGAGATTCATTGAATAATTTTGCGGGCAATATTGAACCATGCAAACGACAGATACGATCAATTTGTTGATACAATTTGTTCACTTTTATTTGTTCTTCCTGTAACCAACCTTTGATGACATTGCTTTCTAATTCAGCGATTTCTTTACCCATATATGGTTTGGATTGTGCTACCAATTGTCGCAATTGAGATTCAAAATCGGATGATGCCATTTTATTATTGAATGTTGAGAAAAATTTACGAACAAATAGACAAAACAAAACAAAACAAAACAAAACCCAAAATTACAAAAGATAAAAGATGAAACTATAACTTATAAAATTGATGATGATGAACACGATGCGAACTATTCTCGTCTAGATCGATTGTGATGATCAATTTCGTTGTTCAATGGCATTAAATATTGCTCATTAACGAACTTTCTTTCTCTATCTTGTTTTTTCTTTCGTTCTTTTGCTCATGGCCAAATATCCTCTCTCCATAATCAATGCGTAAATATTTTTTCTAGAAAAACAAAACAAAATTTTCGATATGATAGAATGAATGGTCAAAAATCTGATGGAAATGGTGAGAGAGTTCGATATAAGTATTAGTTTGAAATTTTATTGATGCCAATAGATTAAAGATGTGTATGATGTTTGTATTTGTTACGATAAACAAGCCAATTTTATCGATTTCAATCTTTCATTTTATCATTAATTTTAGCAATCGATAATAAATAAATTTCGAGATTACAAAAACAGCAACAACATTCGAATGTCTATTTTTAAATGATTAAAAGAATATTGACCCCTCAACTAGTCATGTGAAAATAGACCATCAACAACAAAAAAAAAGATAATGACCACTTTGAAACCGTGAAAAAAAAGTTGTGGTTTTCATATTGGAAAACATCGTTTACTTATTTCATTTGTTTATGATTCGATATAAACTTTGAACCAGATGAAACGAAAAATTTTCCATAAAAAAATTGAAAAACAATTCAACGCATTTAAATCCTGATTCCATAAAATAACCCATGATCATGTTTAGTATTTTTCTTTTCTTTCAAAACCTACACAGGAAAAAAATAAAGAAAAACAAACAAACGATAAAGATCAGAAAAATGCGAAAATTTCAATGATCTTGAAACCTTGGCCATATATTGACATTTTGTAACAGTTTTGGCCTTCTCTCATAAAAATAAAATCAAATGATCATGTTGGACGTAGGGAGAGAAAAAGATTTTTTTCTTATATTGATGTTCCATCATCTCAAACGATCAATGAACGCATGATAATAGAACAGCAAACAAATGCATACGTTCCAAATTGTTCAAACGCTAATGATGAAAAAAAACGAAAACAACAAGCAACAAACGAAATTAAATCTCTTAATTTCATTTCAAAAAAAATGGAATAAAGGAAAAAAATAACTTTATTTTTTCAAATTAAAGTAGATTGCCGACTTTTTAATGTTGATCACACATATATTGACCTTTTTTTTCTTCTTTTTTCATTCGATCCAAATTAATGATATGTTATTAGCTATCCGTCAATAACAGGTAGCGTCCTCTGACAATTGATACTTGTAAATGTTTGCTTTGTTATCTTCATTTTGATTCATTGTCTGGAACAATGTTAAAAAAAAATACGAAACTAAAAAACTTTCCAGCTGTCTAATTATTATGAAGAAACATTTCAATCATTATTTCGTAAGGCCTTGTTTTGTTTTCGATGATAAAAGTCGGATATAATTTGTTGTTACAGTGATGAAGGTTATAATAATAACTGGCGATGAAATTGATAATTTAATAATATTTTCGAGAAAATTCAACGATCCATCATTAATCGATGAATATGCAAAATTATTTGACTTTTATTTGATTGATATAAACAATAAAATTGATATTTTTAGTATCAAAATAATAATCGGAATAATGGATATCATCATGTTTGGACAATTATTATTGTGAAAAAAATTGAATTGAAATTTCTCCGAAAAATTGTCCAACAAGGCCATACAATTGTCAAACACAAGATATCATTGACATTGACATTTAGTTCGACAAACTTTTCTGAACTGTTTTTGGGACCTTGATTTCGTTAATTTCGTAAATCAGTTCTTCTCTTTTTTTTGCTGTTGTTGTTCAACCTTTTATTCTTGAACAAATTAATTGAATGAAAATTTCATCATCATTATGATCAAATGTGGAAAAAATTATGATTTAATTACCAAAAGAGTTGTATGAACGTATGGATATTTCAAATTTTTAATGAATCATAATTTATTTTTAAATAATCTAGTTTTTATGGCCATAAATGTGATAAATGACTTGTTTTTTTTCTATTAAAATTTGTATTCTTTCACATCCCCAGCAAAAAAAAAATTAATAATTCACAAATATCCTTGGTCATTTATTTGTTTTTCTCAGTTAAAATCAAAGGTCAAATTTGTCATTTTCGATTGATTGAAAAATTGCAAAAAAAAATCAAAATTCAAAATAAAATATTCCATTTACATCATCTATGAATCGACTATCTATTATTGTTTTGCATATTCGCTTGAACCAATGCGCATGGCTAAATCGAAATTCAACAAGCTATTTTTAAAACAAGTGAATTTTTTTTTGAAAAAATTCTGAAAATGAAAATTTCTAAAAATTAAGAATGCAATAACAATTGTTCAATGTGTGAATCTGATGTTTATATTTCGCTTTCTATCTATCTTTCGAAATTCTGTTTGTAAACACACTACATATACAAATTGAAAATGTTTAAAGTGGAGGATGACTATGTAAGCAATTGAAAAAAAATCGAATGATTTGAAATAAACAACCATTCCAAAAAAACAGCAATCAATATTATTGAATCGGCCAAATAGAAAAACTACTACTGCCACTAAAAATATAGACAAATGCTAATGCTGCCATCCGTTTTAATTTCATCGATTGATACAAAATGTTGTTTAGATGACGATTTTTTCATTTCTGTTTCGTTAACACAAAAAAATGTTTTGTTGAATCTGGATAAATTTAATGATAATGAACATTAAATGATAACTAACATATTAGTTAACTACATTCAAACAAAAAAAAATATGCATATGATAGCTAAATTTTAATTTCATTTTCATACTATCAGTTTAGTTAAATAGTCAAAATTTTAGTTTTTATTTTTTGTATGTTTTGGGGGGAAGCTTTTTTGAATATCTGAATGCCGTTCTTTCATATTTCCTTTATAGTTTTTTTTATGACATTTAGAAAAACAAAACTGTAAAAACAAGCCCTTAGATATAACAAAATTTGTACGATTACAATTGTTCAATAAATCAACACATGTTTAATTTTGAATGATTACAACAAATTTCATCATCATCGATATTAGCATTATATTTTTGATGACAATAGTTATTTTTCTTATTGATTGATGAAAAAGTCAACAATTTTTTTTTTAGTTTTTTGCTGTTTCCACGTATAACAAATCTTATCATTGAACGAGAGAAACAAAAATGTTGAAATTTTTCGATACCATACCTCAGGACCAAGTAAGAATTGTTCAAGTTTTTTATAACATGCAAAAAAAAAATCTAATTTAATTAAAATTTATTTTAGGCCAAATTCCTCTGTTCACAGCTATTATCATTTATCTATGCATTTATATTTCGTCAAATTCTTTTTGTTCATCTTAATCGAAAACAATCGATTATAACAAAAAATTTCATATATTTTTCAATTATTATACCTGGTCTAGCATTTTCATGGCTTTGTTTTGGAGAGTAAGTAACAAAAAAAATTACTTATTTTTTGTAAATAAAATCATTTTTTTTTTGTAATTTTCACAGCCAAATATATCATCTTATTTTATTAAGCTTAACCTGTTACATATTATTTTATATTTTCGATTATAAATGGATACATTTAGTGACATTTTTTCTTGCCATGACTTATCTATCAATCATTCATATCCATCGTCTTGCATACGGTAATTTTGCCGGTGCATATCATATGGATATTTCGGCGTAAGTTAATATTTCTGATTTTTAAAATTCAAAATAAAAAATGATTTCTCTCTTTTCAACATAGACCTCTCATGATTTTGGTACAAAAAATTACATTAATTGCTTTCTCATTACATGATGGTTGGCTAATTAATACAGCGAATCATCAAACAATTAATATTGAAAGGAAAAAATACTCAATACGACAAAAACCATCATTTCTACAATATTGTTCATATGTATTTGATTTTCAAACCATTCTTTGTGGTCCAATGATTTTCTATAATGATTATCATGACTATTTGGATGGAAATACAATCAAAAAATATGACCTTCATTATTTCCCACCATTTGCGGTATGTTTCCTAACACAAAAAAAAATATAATTTTACGGTTTTGTTTATGTCGTTCAATTTGTTATGATAATTAATGACAGAAAACTATTTGGAAAGCATTGTTGACATGTTCTATTTGTGCAATACTTACGATGAAATTTGTTCCACTTTTCCCAATTTCCTATTTACAAGGTTTGATATTCGATTAATTTTTGCTTATATTTGATTAATTTAATTATTTTTAAATTTGATTGCTATAGATGAAAAATTTTTACAAGAAAATTTGGCCTATAAAATTTTAATCATATATTTTGTGACAACCTTTGCACGAATCAAATATTACTTTGCATGGAAACTAGCTGAATCTGTTTGTAATGTTTCCGGTTTAGGATTCACCGGACTCAATGAAAATGATAATCAACCAGTGTATGATTTAGCCATAAATATTCGTATTTTTGATTTTGAAATGGCCTTATCACAACATGATGCAATTTCAGCATGGAATATATCAACTGTTAAATGGCTTCGTTCTGCCGTCCATTTTCGTGTTCCTAAACGTTATCGTGTTGTTGCTACATTTGCATTATCAGCCGTTTGGCATGGTTTTTATCCCGGTTATTATCTTACATTTGCTACTGCCTGTTTATTTATGGCTGCATCCAAAACAATTCGAAAATGTATTCGATATCGTTTTGTTCATTCAAAACATTTACTAATTGGTTATCATTGTTTAACATGGTTAACCACACGTTTAATGATTGCCTATTTTGCATTCCCATTTATTCTACTCACTTTTAATGATTCGATTCTTATTTATCAATCCCTCTATTGGTTCGGTCATATACTAGCCATTTTGGCTTTGCTAATTGTGCCATTAATCTTGAAATCAGAATCAAAAAATCATGAAAAAGACATCGTGCCCATTCGAAAACCTGATGAATATCCCAAAGTTGATGATACAAAAAAAATAATCAACGGTTACTATCATAGAGAAAATAATGGTTTCAATCAATGACCATAAACATTTTGCAACATAATTGTGATAAATATCTAAAAAATAATCAAATATTTAAAAAATTGTAAATTATAATAAATTTTTTTTGGAAAATTAATTTTTATTCCTAACGATAGATGACACGGATGATAGCTTGTATATGATTTCCATCAGAGCGCAAGCGTTCAATCATCAATCACAATGTGCAAATGAAAAAAAAGAACGAGTTGTATGCTTGTATGTGTGGCTCGTGTGTGCTTCTGCGGTGTGTTTGTGTGTAATGTGTGGTGTCAGCAGCGGTTTTAATGTTGGCTTACTCCATTGATAATCCGGCAAACTGTTTCATTAATTGTTGTGGTTTAAAATTTGATTCAATCTTCATTCTCATTAATATTTGCATTAATTATTGTAGATTATCATCAATTATTACCGCTAACAATTAATGGTAACTGATTGTATTTTTTTTGAATTAGAAATTTATGACGATTTTAATTGATTATTATAATAGACACCGTGATCATCAATCAATCGTAAATAACTTTGACCAGAACGTGGTGATTTAAAAGTCTGGATCGATTATTAATTGGTTAGCATTTGTTCATTATCGATAAATGTTTCTCTATTGATTGTTATCGATTTGTTTCGCAAGTCTTGATGTATGTATAATGAAGATGAACCACATGTTTGATTTTTTACACTAATAAATGTGTAAAAAGTTTTTCCATGTTCTTATGTAAATCAATAATTTCCATCCATTATCACCCAAAATATTGCTTCTATTGCTGACATTGATACAATAAATAGGTTTAATTGGAGAAAGAAATATAAGAGTCAATTTTAAATAAATAGATTACTAACTTTGTAACTCATACTTCTATACACCAAAAAACAAATGCTTTAGAAAATAGTAACTTTTAGTCGTAATAAAAAAAGAAAGGGAAGCAAACCAGTATGTCAAGCTTTTTTATTTTATTTGGAATTCAAATTAATTTTTACTTGATTTTTTCTCAGAATTGAAAGTGAAAATCCGTCCATCCATAATAATACAACTTTTGATTTTATGTTGGCGATAATTTTTCCCCATACTCATTGATTGAACTCGTTCGCCTTATGTCATCATTTCCGTTTTCTTCGATCTATTTCATTGGCCAACTCAGAAAAATATTTATAATACAACAGAAAAAAGAACGACAACATCTGACAAAATGACAACCATACTACCCACCGAACTAATATCGAACAAAAAGCTTCTGGTTCTCAATATTGGTGATATAGTTGAATGTAGAACATGTTTTGAAGAGATTTTTACCGGTGAAGTGATGGCATTCGATTATGAAAATCAGAATAAAATCCTGGTTTTGAGTAAGTTATTGAAAAATTTCGAAGCAATACTTTTGTTTATTATCATTTTTTTCCTTGATATAAAAATAGAAATTCCATCAACATCATCATCATCCACTTGTAACATTACCTGTGTTAATCTGGAATTTTGTAGCAATGTTCATGTGGTTCAAGAAATGCCCGAATCTACATCGAATACACATATAAATCTTCCAGATATAAATACGAATAAGGTTGATTTTGTCATTTTTTTCATCATTTCATTGAATTTAATTGATATTCATTTTTCTTATAGCTTGAAGAAAGAGTTAATGTTGCTGTGAAAGAACGTAATAATCTAATTGAAGCTTATAAATCTGGTGTCAGTTCTGATGGTATATCATTGTATTTGTCGTTGATAAAAACAATGTAAGTTTTTGTTGACCATTAAAAAAAACAAATTTAATAACCAAAGGAAATTTTTTAGCGGCGGTTCGGTTACATTAGAATCCTTTCATAACAATAAAGAACATTGTATAGTGATTAAAAAGAACACAAAAATAACGCCACCATTCAGTGCCGATTGTGTACAAGCAGTTGTACTTCCTAATAAAACGGCTGGTCCGATGGCTTCTGAAGCGGTTAAATATGCTCGACAATTGGTAAATTGATACAGATCCTTTAATTCGTAAAGTTAATTAATCAATTTATTTATTAGGTTGAAAAATTTTGGCGTGATCAAAATAAAGACCCATATACGTTAGCCAGTTGTGGTCCATCATCCACACAGTTCAATGTTAAAAATCAGAATAATAATGACACCACAACAACATCGAACAACAACAATCTGAATAATAGTAGAAATAATAGTAATAATTCATCGAAAGAATCATCACCACATTCGACGATGGCAACATTATCATCTCCAACAACATCATTATCATCACAGAGTGGTTCACGATCATCACCAGTTCCACCAACAACAACAGCCGTAACAGCACAGACATCGACCATAAACAATATGATTTCAACGACGAAGACGTTGATCAATAATTTGACTTCATCAATCGGAAATGTCCAAACACCACAGAATTCAACTACGACTTCATCGTCGTTATCATCTTCAACATCGTCTTCGTCGTCGTCGGCAGCATCGTCTACATCAAATTCAGCGACTATGACAGCAGCCGCTGCTGTCTCATCGAAACAAAATCAGAAAACAACGGCAAATTCCCGTTATTAGATAAGAATTAATTATTGAGTTTTTCCCAATTTTTTAAAAATGAAATGAATTAAAAATACAACATAGAACATTGTCACCAACCGATTTATTGCAATTAATTCTTTTCTTTCTTTTTCTTAGTATAATGGAAATTTTTTTTTATTCACATCCCCCAATACACACACACAAACAAAAGACACACACAAAAGATGTAGAGTTTTGATTTTTGAATATTATTATCTAAAAAAACACTTTCACATTATCAAATCATGAAATACATAAGCACACAACAATAAAAAACAAAAATTTTGGCTATTTTTATTTCCGATTGAGAAAGAAAAAAAAATCAATTTTTCATATATGGAACAAATAAATTCAATGTTATTTTCATTTAAAAAGAAATTTACCACTGATCAATACAGTATAGGACAACGATACAAATATTTGTTTGTATATATTTGGGAAAATAATGTCAAATGTAGAATTTGTCGATATTTTCGTATCGGTGTGGACAATTTGAAAAATTCAAATCGGTTATAACATGTGATTAATTCATCATATTAATTTCCTATTTTTGATTCAATGATTATTCAGATATTTTTTTGTTCATCGATTTCGAAACCATAACCAACTTGTTGACTTTTTCAAAAATTGTCTTATCAGGTTTTATTAATATTTTCGTACGATTTTCAACAATTCATTGCAGTGATGCCAATCGAAAGGGGTCATCATCATTATTTCTTGTATACAAATTTTTATTTATTTTTTATTCTCGATTTCCATTTATATGTCCAATATCACTCATGTAAATGGTGACACTACGTTGACGATTACTGACACGTTGAAATGATCGTGTGAGAAGATTGCGAATCTAATTTTTTTTTTTTAATAATGAAAAATGATCAATTTTATTTACAAGGAAGAAAAATAAATTATATCATACTTCGCTATTGGCAAAACAAAAGATGATCGAAACCATCAATCCTTGTAGACCATCAAAACTAAGTGATAAATAGTGATAAGTTTCGGAAAGCCAACAATTTCTGTCAATGATTTTTTTGTTTGTTTGTTTGATTGAATAAAAAAACATAAACAAAGATAACAAAATATTAGAATAACAAAGAAAATGAAAGAAAAAATATAGAAATTATCATACTCAATTTTTGGTCGATATACAATGAATAGATAATGAAGGCCATATAATGGTAATAATAATACAGCAGCACGAAGTGATACTAGAAATGATTGTCTATTAAATAATGTTGATGATGTACGATTATATCTCGATATTGATGATGATGATGATGGTAGTTGTTGTTGTTGTTGTTGCTGCGTTGATGATATGGTCGAATGTATCGATGATTTACGATGATGATACCATCGTTGTAACTTTGTTGTACAAGAATCATTATTATTATTTTCATCATCAACAGCATCATTTTCGTTGTTGTTGTTGTTGTTATTCCTAATATTTTCCAATGTCGATGTCGGTGTTGATGATGAATGATGATTAAAGCAAGCCGATGAAGTATCAATTTTATTATTCAGATTATTATTATTATTATTAATGTTATCATTATTATGGACAACACTACGACGTAACGATGAAGACGATGGTGGTGGTGATGATGTTGCAATCATAATTGAGGTAGCAGCTGCTTTGATACAAAGTACCCGTAATAACCAGATCAGAAAGAAACAATTTATCTAAAGGGAAATTATTTTCAAATATTTACCAAAAAAAAAAAAATCAAATGAAAAAAGAAAAAGAAAACAGAAATCTTAGAATCTTTGTTGTTGTTTTCATTGTAATTCGATTTATATGGATAAGATTTTCTATGATTGAATTGTGAATAATGTAATTTTTTCCATTTTTTTCTTCTTCATTCTCCGTAATCAGCAGTTGGTCTCTGAATATATTTCTATACAGAATTGTTTCTAATTTCTAACACACGTACGAAAATAAAATCAATGATTTTCAAAATATATGTTATCAGTTTGAACAAATATAAACAAATCAAATTGTTTTCGTTTTTATTTGAATATTTGTTTCGGAAATTCAATCAGAAATGAGAAAAAAAAATAGAATAAATTGAAATTCAATAATTCGTGATGACAATGAAAATCAATTTGGCAATTCATTTGAAAATATTCAACAAATCACAAAAAAAAACAAATTTCTTTTCCTCAAAAAATTGAATTATTTTCAAAGAAATTGTTGATGCTGTAATTTGGAGAGTCGAATAAGAAAAATTTCTCAAGTGGATCTTCTAATCATCATCATCATCATCTTGAATAAATAGTATCATGATGAGTGATGTATTTATAAACATCGGCAAAAAAATAAACACCAACAGAGAAAAAAAGATGCATAGAATAGGGTGTGTATGTGGGTAAAGGGGAAAAAATTTTATTTTTATTTTGTTTATCCTTTTTTCATGATAACTTATTCAGCAAAAAAAAATTCTAAAACTAGTAGACGTTTGGAATATGTTTTGTGTTACGGAAATCGCTGTCATCGTTGATGTTGTAATAATGATAGCATGCCGTTTTTGCTTGTCATTGAAGCTAGCAAGCGAATCATCAAAAAAAAAAATTCGTGTAAAAACAATTTTTTTTCCTACTGACAGATTTATCGAGTTGATTTATTGATCTCTCTCTCTCACTCTCTCTTGTTTTTCAAAAGTTGTTTAGTTGTACAATATCCAAAACACATAAATGAAACCAAGAAAAGGAAGAGAAAGATTCTATTCTTATTTTGATTTTCTTTTCATTGGATCAGCTATAAATGCTGACATTTGCTATGCCTTTTTTTTTGTTATGTTTTGATTGAAGAATCAAAATAAGTGCAACAGCAAAATTAAATTCTTGGTCAAAAACAAATATATTTTTATTTTTCGGTTTGTTTGTGCGTAATTACTTACAATTAAAACTGCTAAATTTGGCCCATTGATTATCCATTCATGCCATGGTTGATTGGATGGTGTTAACCAACAATCATCAACTTTTGCCATTGAAATATCTTCTTCCAATGAAAATGAATATGAATGAACTAAAGATTCATCATCATAATTATCATTATCATTGTTATTATTATTTTTATTATTAACACTTTCTGGATAAGTCATTTCTTCATAATCCAGATTTGAAATAAAGCTTTCAGGCAATATATTTGCATCATGATGACCTAATAATAGATAACGAATTAATGTTGATTGATCCAAATATCGATGATGGCTATGTACAGATGGATATATTAGCTGTGGATTATTCCAATGTGAATCTTGAATATTTAATTCTCGTATAAGATTCTGTCGAATTTCATCATCAAATGATAATAATACCGTAATTAATTGTTCTTGTTGATAACGACTAATTTTTGGATAATCTTCCCAGAATTTTGATGATGATGATGATGACGATGTTGTCGGAAATGAATGAATATTATCATTGAATAAAGCAAAATTATTTGTGTCATTATTCAATGTTATTTGTTGTGATTGTTTTGCTGCAAGATTGAGTTGATGTGATTGTTCTGGAGAAAAACTGATTTGCTGTAAAAAAAATTCTCTAGCAAAAATATAAGATGTTGTCGTTATGAATGGTAGACTATAGGCTAGTATAATTAAAGGACGTAATGATGGCTGTACAAAAGCATGTTTAATTAATTGATGTAGATAAACTGCTTCATTGAACATCCATAAATAATTGGTTGAACGAAAATAACGTTGTAATATCGATAATATCATACAAAATGATGGTATATTACGATGATATGATGCGTAAATAATTCCATCATTATTATTATTATTATTATCATTATTAACAGATATCGATTGCAACGTTTCAATCGTTTTAGTTGTTTTTTCCGTTTCCATTATTATTGTTGTATTATTTTCAGTGGCAAGTGTTGAAAGATCAACATCCGATTCGATGGCAGATTGTAAACCACTAAGCAGATGCCATTTAAGTAATGCTGAAATGATTGCATGAAATAGTAATGATGTGAATAAATGTTTATGTAAACGTATACGAGATATTGATGAGACTTGTCTGTGTTTTTTTGTTTAATTTTTTGTTGTTGTTGTTTTTTTGTACACGTTATTTCATAAGATAAAATCAAAAATTTTCATTCAAAATTGATGGTAATTTGATATAGAAACAAAATTCCATGAACATCAAGAAATTCTAGGAAAACAATGCAAAACTTACTTGTAATGACTGAAAATAAATAATGCAGGAACTAGAGCACACATAGATATGATATTGGTAATTAATGAATATCTTATCCGTCCTGCATAGATCTATCATTGAAATGAAAAAGTTAATAATAGTAATGGATTGGGAAATTATATAAATAATACTTACATCATCACGTGCACACATTGTATAGTTACTCCATTCATGATGATCATCATTCACATACCAATGGCCATTTTTGTCACAAAATTTTGTCACATAACCACGACATGGTGGAGAATGTTGGTCCCAATAGATATGTTTTGGACATGGACGTTCTAATTGCTGTGATGGTTGTGCATATTCATTCCAACAAAGCCAACCATCCCATGTTGGTGGACATTCATTTTTATGTAAACTATTATGATCGATTGTATCAGATGATGATGATTTTGTTGATTGATCATCATTAATAATATTCGTTAAATTTTTTATATTAAATTCATGATGATATTTATGATAATAATCAATACAACATAATATTGCATCATGACAACATTGTTGCCATTTTAATATCATCGAAATTGATCGAAATGTTTCGGCTAATTTTTTTGTTTCATTCGATGCTAATGTTATATTATAATAAGGATGTACTAACTGACCGAAATATTTGTAACTTTATTTACATAGAGAAGAAAAAGGAATTATAATTAATACAACAGAATAAAAGAAAATAACATTAATTAATGATCAATATTTAAAATTTTATGATGTATTAAATAAAATGTGTGAGTGCTTGTTAATTTTATTTTTACCTAAATTTAGCACCAGTTTTGAATACATTTTCGGGCATATAATGATAACAACGAGCACATGTATCCAAACGATATATATCGAATGTTAATTCAATACCCCATTCTGTACGACATGGTATACGTATACGATCGATGATTAATCGAATCAATTGCATCATATCTATTGTATTGATGTCGATATTCTATGAATAATGATAATAATTTGACAATATATTAATTAAATTGGAAAACAATAGTAGAAAAAAATAAAAGAATTACCATTCAAAAATATAAAGAACACAAACAAGAACATTATTACATGTAAATGAACATTGCTGTTAACAACATTTTTATAAGCAGATTAATTTGAAAAATATTAATACTGTACATGAAAACAAGAGAATTGACGTAACGCTGTCTTATCAGAAAAAAATAGCCAGAACACTGAAGTAACTTCAGTGAACAGTTTCACTACATGAAATCTTGAAAAAGTTATCAAGATCAATGAATATTCATGAAAAAATAAAAGTTTTTTTTGGAAAAAAAAGTTCTTGGCCATATTTTTGATTGAGCAACATTGTTCATAAAAAAAATGATTCATAGTTGTTGATAGAAACAGATAAAACAAAGATCAAATTACATTTTTTGTTTTGTTTTGTTTATTTTGAATCATAAAAGCTTATATAATACGAATGCCTACAGCAAAGTATTTAGGAATTATTATTAAAAACCAAACTGATGTTAAAAAAAGGAACAAAGGCAAAATTCTGTCAAGAAATTCCACATTCTTGTTTTGTTATGGAGACAGATTTTTTTTCAATTTTTCCATTCAAAAAAATGCAATAACAACGAACAAAAGTTTTTCTCTGAGAACTGCAAAGCAAGTATTTTTAAAATATAAAAAACGAACAAATAATGACAGATGCAGATACATTGAATGATTATGAACAAAATGGAAAAAATTTTAGGTCTGTCTATGTTTATTGTAATCATCTAATTCGTCCGTCAAAAAAAGAGGTCTTAGAATATTCTCGCAAACAATTCATTTTTTTCATTGACTTTTAAAAACTATAGTTAAGATTATGGAAGAAAAAAAACTAATAAAAAATTTTCCGTTCAAAAATTCGAAGATAAAAAATATATAAAAAAAAGTTCAATTAAACAAAAAAATGTGAAAAAAGAGCCATTGTTTTATTGGATAGGTAAAAGATTGTAAATTTCCCTTTTTATTCACCCCGATCATTATAATGATATATTTCTTCCAAATTCAATGCCACAAACACACACACACAAATACATGCAAACATCATAACAATCATAAAGATAATCATATATGATGATTGAGCAATAAGAATAAATTTTCGATTCTATTAACGACAAATAATTATTAAAAATATTCGTTATCTGCTCAATTGTTTTTATTCATTATTTTTCATGTCCACCACCACCACCATCACCAATTTCATATATAGACAAAGGGCGTCACAACACACACACACATAATTTTTCAATTTATTCATGGTTTTTTTTTCATATGGCAAAGAATTTCTCATCATCATTATTTTATTTATATGAAAAAATAGTGATGATAATATAATACGACATAATGGATTACAATAAAAAAAACCAGGCATAACGTTAACCGAAAGCTGCCAAAAAAAGGCCCAATTACATATCAACTATTCAAACAAACAAGCAAATATATTTGCGAAAGGCAATAAACTTGTATGAATGCCATCAACATAAAAATAAAATATATTCTACAAACACACACACACACACATGAAAAAAAATTATTCAAAGAAGGTGAAAGAATATTCGAATTAGGTAATTGAAATATACAATCCCAAAAGGAAAAAAATGGAAAAAAATTTTGATACGACCCAGATAGAGCAAATTTTACTATTAGTTATTATCAATATAAAAATAGACTAACATCAATAAAAAAAGTTTCCATTTTCATCATCATTTCAATTCAACGTTCATTTAAAATTGTCAAAATAAAGTAAAGAATCGGAAAGGGTTGAATGAATTTCAATTTTTTTTCATTATCATCATGAAAATTTTGAACATACATCAATTTAAGCGATTGATTTTGATGTGAAAATAAGAGAAAAAAATTATTTCATAAAAGTAATGGAATTTTTTTTCTTTGAAAAAGATTGATTTTTTCCATTTCGATATGATACAAAAAATAATAAAAAATAGATAAACAACGATAAAAAAGTGAAAATGAAAAAAAAGTTTTTAATTTTGAAAAGATCCAAAACTTGAACCCATCCTTTTTTTGTCTATCATTTTCATTGGAAAAATTTGGCAAAAAAAAATTTCAAAGTCAATGTAATCAATTAATTTGTGTTAATCAAAGATAATGAGATTTTGTCAAATAGAATTGATAAAAAAAAACATAAATTCAACATCCTTGTTTGTGATCAATGGATATCATAGTCGATGATGATGATGATGATTACGAATAAATCACACAAAAAACGGAAAGGAATTTCGTTTTACGAAGATGAAAGAAGAATAAGAAACGTTTTTTTGAGAATGATATATTTCTGATGCACATCATCCTCATCATGGACTTTATTGTAAGCAACAACAATAAAAAAAATTCACCAGAATTTTTTCATTTGTTTTATCCTTCTATTTTTTTCATTCATACCATAATCATGTTGATATGGATGATGATGAAAAGAAGAGATAAACAAGAAAATAAGTGGAATAACAACGGAAATAAAACATACACAGAAGAATAAAAAAAAAATAGAATCTTTGATTTGAAACTTGCCACTCACGTACAAGACTAAATACTATAGCTGAAAGGCACAATTTCCTTTCAAATCAAATCATTCTCATCATCATCATTATGGTGAAAAAAAACATGTAAAAACAAAATTTATAGCCATAATAGAATATGAAAAGTCAAACATTCATCACCGTTGGGATGAGAATAAATAATCCAAAATGCTAAAAAACAGAATAATTTGGAATAACGAATAATCATGATAATGACGAAGTAATCAACAACAACAAAAATCAAGGAAATTGAAGGGAATTTAAATTTTTAAAATTTTCAACAAGTAAATAGTTTGAATATTCAAATTAGGAAATCAATGATGCTTGCAAATTGATAATGGGATAAACAACATACCGAATTTGATTGATGTTGTTTTTGTCCGCTATAGTCATAATTCTCATTGACATCATTGATATCAATTGAATCATCGTCGAGCTGTCGCTTTTCCTGATGATGCTTTAATACTTCTGGTTTTATAGTTGTTCTTATTGATTTTTGTTTATCTTTTTTCAGAATGTTTGATTCTGTTTTGATGGTCATTGAATTGTTATTATCGATAATTGATGATATTAACACCCGTTGATTTTGTTGTTGACCATAATGATTCGTTGATTTATTGTTTACAGTTGATTGATCACAGTGAATGGATGGAAAAAAATTCACTTTAGATATTAACAATGATGATCGATCAATATACTGTAAATCATATATAGCCAAAATGATTATCATAATAATTGTTAAAATAATTGTAGAAATAATTTTCCTTTTTTTAGCTCTTGAAATCAATATCCTCGACGATGACATGATTATATTATTTTCAATCTGATATAGGAAAAATCACTTTGTTTTCTATTATTTTATGTTAATGATGATTTGTTGATTCATTTAGTTGATTTTGATGATGGCTATTAATCTAATTAAATGAATAATGCTGTAAATTGGAAAGAAACGAAAAAAAAACATTATTATTGGTCAAAATTATTTCTGATGAATTATAATGAATTATCTATGTAATCAGAAAAAAGAAAAAGAATCAAATTCATGTTGATAAAAGTTGAATAGAAAAATCTGGATTAATAAGTTTACAAAGTTCACACAAACATTAAAGAATATATTTTTCATATTTCTTCTCGAATGTTAATAATGTTTCACACTGACACTTGTCTATTTATTGCACAAACAGTATTCTATCATTACGATTCATTCATTCATCCATGTTCGAACATCATTCATGATGCGCAAATGATTCGTTGAGGGTGATAAATGAAAAAAATAAAAAAAATGAAAATTTTTGCAATCATTTTTTTCGGTAGGAATTTTTTTTTGTTGAACAAATCTAATGGAAAAAAATTGTTTCGATGTTAGAATGTATCATAAGACGATGGCAACACTATGACGATAAACTTTTCTTTCAATGTTGTTGTTGTTGTTGGATTTTAATTCCGATGTCGTATATTTTGAATTTCACTTTCTTTCTAGTAATTTATTCATCTTTTTTCTATTATATGTTTTTTTTATTCTATTCACCATGATCAATGAGAAGTAATTTTTATCTATTCATAAAATTTGACTACAAACAAATAAACAACAACAACAAAAACATGGATAAAACAGCAAAATTAAAAAAAGTTCACGAACAAAACTTATCATTCACTTTAATTCTTTTTTTTCAAAAAGGCTATAAATTTTCTAAATTTCTCATCATTTATTGAGATCAAAAAAAAAGAAGAAATGTTCCAAAGAAATTCGTATCACAATTGAAATAAATCTAAAATAGATGAATGGATCAAGATAAACAAAAAAAAAGAACAAAAATAATAGAATTTTCATCGTTGTCTGGAATTGTCGAAAAGTTTTACATAAATTATTTTTCAAAAACAAATTGAATAAGCCAAAACACACAGCATGAAAACGACAACAACAAAAAAACCGTTTGAAAATAATGGTAATGTTTTAAGAAAAAAAAATCATCTTGAATCACTTGAATATATTCTGTATGAGAAATTCTTTTCCAACGAAAAACAAAAAATGATTTAATTTTGAAACCTTATTGTCTTCACCAGTTCATTTTAAACAAACAAAAAAAAATTGAGATTTTTTAAATTTTTTAGTTTTTAATTTTTTTTCCACAAAAACATCAATTCAAACACCCACACTCAGTGAATGGCTATAATACTATGAACATTTCAAATCAAATAATGTGAATAATAATAATGATAATGTTGTTGTTGTTGTTGTAAAGAAATATTTTGGGTAAGAATGAAATCTTTTACGCATATTCTATGATGATTATATGATGATTATGGTGATGTTGGAATCAATGCTTGATAATGTTCACTGTTCACAGTGTTTTGGTTTGTCTTATGCTTCAATATTATTACGTTATTTAGCTATAGTTATCATTCTTATACTCACCATAATCGTATTGGCAATAGAATTCAGGCGTCATATATGTTATTCTTGATATATTTTTGGTGTAACGAAACGGTTGGTTATATTTCGCTTATAACTATTTTGCAAAGGTTTGAAAAAAAATTCTACATCTTTTGATTCGTTGAAATCTTAATATGGCGCGAATAGGAGAAAAACAGAACATTTTTATTCAATGATTTCTTATTTTGATTGGATTACTTTTTTTTGTTTATTGTCCATTGTACAATAATTGTGTCGCCTGTGTAAATCTTGTTTCATCGAATTGATTGATTGATTGTTTGTTTGTTTGTTTCACACTTTTCGTTAGATTCAAAACGAGTGAAATTTCTTTAGAAATTCTTGATTGTATTTATTTCTAGGAAAACCTTAAAAATGGATTTTCTTATGAAAGAAAAAAGAATTTACAGAATCATAAATGGTTGATACCATTCAAATGCTTATAACATGCCCATTATTATTGTCTTATTGAAAAGGAAAAAATTTTATGAACAAATCATTGAATTTTACAATTGTATTCGCCAACCATGAATTGAGATCAATCGAAACGTAATTTTACAAAACTTAAAAAGGGTCGATTATGTTCATATCGTTTTCATTATGAGAAGAACCAATGAAAAATTATTGCTCAAGCGAAAAAACAAAATTATTGCCATATATAAACAAAGTAATATAACCATAATCGATAACATTGACCGAACTGAAAATTTTTATGTTGTAGAAAATCATTATTGATAATGTTATTTTGTTTCATTTTGAATTAATTTTATCTATTTTGACCACCAATAAACAAGGCAAACAAAACGAATTGTAAATCTTTCGAGTCATTTGCTGTGGTTTTTGTTTCTTTTTTGTTGTAGATCTTATTATTATTTTTTTGGGAAACAAGAACAAACAACAACTAACAACAGCTAACCGAACAAAGAAATGAAGATTAACCGGAATAATAATTAGAAATATAATTTAATCAAATTGTATCTGTATCTATTTTCAATATATTGCAATGTTAATTCTATATCAGTAACAAAGAATAATTAAAATTGTTTTCAATCGAAATTAGGTTTAAAGGTTTTCACGAATGTTTCAAATTCAAATCACATATTCGTTATATCAACTTAACAACAACAAACAAAAAGCTAAATTAAACAGATTCGACATCAATTTGTTTCACTGAATTGAATAATGACAAGAAAAAAAGAATTATTAATGAATAAAGCAGAATTGAAAGGTCAATAAAAGAAAAATCAAATGTGTCTTTTGTAGAATGTTTCTTTTATTTCAAATCGATGAAAACTTGATTTTTTTCGTGAAAAAAAACATTTTCAAATCGAAATCTAAAATATAAATATATTTTTAACGCGATAAGATTGCTCAAATTTAATCTGATTATTTTTTCTTTGTATATAAGTTTGTGTTTGTGAGTAAGTGAGTGATGATTGAAAATACGCAATTCTTGGAAATCCATCCAAATTATTCAATAATGTTATTTTCCATTTGTTTTTAGTTTTAATTCTAAAAACAAAAATTTGAGATAAAATAAAATATCATTTAAGTGAATTTAAAAATTGTTTTATTGCGAAAACAAAATCTATTCCCAATAGATATCAACCTTTTTGTTATCGTTTTCAAAATATTTTCCTGATTTTGATTCTGAAATTATTTGTTTTCTTTTTATGACAAGATTAATTCAGTAACAATATTGACATATGATACATTTTTTTTGGTGAAATGGACATTGATGACAAGATAATGATGATTAATAATTAAAACTGATTCTCCTTTATGATTCATCATTATTACTCGAATTTTTTCCATTAACACTATTTTATATTTTTCTTCCCTGAATAATTATTATCATCATAAATAATATTGTAATTTTTCTTGCTTATTATTGTATCAGCTGAACATTCAATAATAATGTTTATCAAATTGATATAATTTGTTTGACGCAAAAGAATAAATGGATCAAATAACTGTATATAGGATAGATTAGCAAAAGAAATGAATTTACTTATTTTCTATAATATATTTTGTCCGATTTCATGGAAAGAAAAAACGAAAAGTTGTCAAAGAAATCTGGTAATGGCATCAATATAATGATTTATGTTTCATTAGTTACTAAAGTATATAAGATTAATAATGATTGTCCGAAATATAGAATAAACAAATATTTCTCAAGTAAATCATACTTGTTTCTGATAAACAAACATCAACACACATGTTGATTAAAGATAAACAAATTCCATTTTTCGATCGAAAATAACCATTTCAATATAAAATAAAATCATTTTCCAAAATGTTCTGTTCAAATTCCTTATTTTTTGATCGATATTTATTTAGTTTAAAACATGTTTTTTCCCCTTCATTATTTGATTGATTTGAACAGAAAAGTGTATGGAAAAAAATTTAGATTATAGAATCAAATTTTGATCATCATTATAATGACCACTTCCATTTGAACAAATCATATGATCATTACATAGTTTTGAAAAAACATTTTAGTTCAATCAACTGATAGTGTTCACTAGCAAAAAAAATCTTCAAGTGGATCAACAAATTGAGTTAATAAAATTTTATTGAATTTTTTTTTCATACATACCCTGTGCATACAATCCTAATGGATTGAATGTATATTCAATATAAATTTAGAATGTTTTCACCACATGTACTTGCTTGATATAACTATAAAAATATATATGTGTTTTTAGAAAAAAAGATGTTAATGTTCATCGTTGATCATAATAATGATGAACATCAACACGAAGCGAATTTATTCTTATAAACATTTACAAGCCAGACCAAAAAAAAAGAAAAGAAGACACTAATACAAATGAACAAACAAACACATACAAGAATAAAGGAGAGAGAAAAAATTTAACCAGAAAGTATCAATTCATGGTGTCATCATCGTAACTGTTGATGATCAATTTTGAAAAAAAACCATTTCTTCATTCTTGAAATGATGATGATTATGAAGATGATGTGGATGATAATCAGTTTTAGGGCTGAATGAAAGCCTGGTAAAACGATAAAATTTTCACTGGATTTTTTTGCTTCAATTTTTTTTGTTAATTTAAATTTCAACTTTTCAACATGTCATTTCTTGCTGACGAATATTCTTTTATTTGTCATCATGAAATTTAATCATACTGATGAGTGAAATGAACAAACTTACTTCCTTATTCTAATGATTAATACAATTTGAATTGAATGATGAACAACAGTTTTTATGAAGATAACTACAATGGTTTCATCCAAAACGGTATGTCTTCGTAAAAAAAGGATATTTCTTCCAAATTCTTCATTTTGGCATGGTCATCGTTATTTGATATAACATTTTTTGTTTTCTTCCACTTTATATTAGTTTTCACAAAGTGCTTTTTTTAGAAAACAAAACAATTTCTTTTTCAAATATTGTTTGTGTTGACCAATTTTAATTGAATTTTTTTATCTTCACTTTGTTTTTATGCGATATATCATTCTTAGTTTTTATAAATTCTTCATTATTCTTATCTTTATAATTATTTGTATTTGATTGTAAAGGTCGGCAATTTTGTGGTCACGCAAAATGAAGAGATGAAAAACCTTTTAGTTTCATTTCATTTTCATTTTCATTGAAACTGATATTATCATCAACAACAACAACATCATCATCAGTTTGTTTATATAATTTTGTTCCTTTTTTTTAATATGACCGGATTCTTGACAAACATTTTCAACAACATCAACTTTATATATGACCACTTTGTTTGTACTATCATTTTATTGATAATGATGACAGTGAAAGTAATGACAACAACAACAACAAAATTAGAAAATTTGCTTCAAGTTTCGATTAAATAGTGTACAACAATACTGTGATTATCGAGTTGACAGTTTCGAAAACTTTTTCATGAAATATTTGATCTGCTTCTACACTTTTGATTCCTTTTACCATTCCTATTATCATTTATATTAGAATCAAAATTAGAGAAAAATTCAATTTTTCTAACATTCTGAACTTTTCTGTTTTTCTTTCTACATGGATTGTTCATTTTTAACAATAACTTCAATACCATGGCAATTCTGTGTTGATTTTAATTTCAACATTAAATTCTAAATATTGATAGTTGAATTGAAATTATCTTGATTCAACATGACAATCTTATTTGCATTAAATTTTCAATTACAATTATTGTTTGGATAATTGTGATCAGCGAAGAAAAATAAAATTCAATTACTTAAAACCAATTGATTGAAATAATCATTATTTATATTTCCACTGTTATTAATTCAAAATTTTGTGTTGTGTAAAAGAAAAATTCTCTCATCTAATCTCACTGTAAGCAGGACAAATATTGATAATGACAGTAATAATGATGGTCACAAAAAGAGAAAAAAATTATTATTATAATTGTTATCTGGTTGCCTTAATGTTATTATTAATTGAATGTGTTGCCAGATGTGATTCAGATCAATCAGGTTTGCTATATCTAAAATGAAAATGATGAATAAAATAAAACTAAATTTGATTTTGTTTTCATTTCTTTTGATTAATTCCAAATAATAATAAATGAGCTTAATTCTATAGATGCAAAATATTGGCATAATTTGGCTACGGAACGAATATTACGATATGAATCAAAACGAACAAAAATTAATGGAAATGAAGAAATGGCGAAAAATGTTATCATTTTTATTGGTGATGGAATGGGAATATCAACCGTTACAGCATCTCGTATATTGAAAATTCAGTTACCAATTTCAAAACAAATTCACGATCAAAAACGACATCAAAAACAACATGATTTGAATAATAAAAACGTGAATAATTTACTGAAAAAATTACAACAATCTGAAGATGGATCATTGTCGTTTGAATCATTTGAAATGGTGTCCCTAGTAAAAGTAAAATAAAATAGCCAAATCGAATAATTGATTCGTTTTTTTTTGCTTTTGGAACGAATGGTTGATTGATTTTTTATTTCATATTTTCAGACTTATATATTAGATAGTCAAGTCGGTGATTCAGGAGCTTGTGCAACGGCAATAATGTCTGGTGTTAAAGCTAATTTTGAAACGGTCGGTGTTAATGGTAAAGTTAAATTAAATGATTGTCTAGCTACGATGGATCCAACGGTCAGAGTTTCAAGTGTAATCGATTGGGCACAACAACAAGGTGCGTATCTTTTAGATTCGTGATTGTTTTGCATTTGTGGATGGATTTTCATTTTATTTTGTTTGGGATAATTTCGGTAGGTAAATCAACCGGATTTGTTACGACTACACGTGTAACACATGCAACACCAGCTGCTTTATATGCACATTCAGCTAGTCGTTATTGGGAATCGGATGATCGTATGATGTCTAATCATTCTGATAATAATGTGAAAAATTCAGAATTCTGTAAAGATATTGCTCGACAATTGATCGAAGATGAGCCGGGCAAAAATCTTAATGTAATGTTATTTTTTTCTTGAACAAATTTTTTGAAATATTTTTTCCGGAAATCAATTAGGTAATAATGGGTGGTGGTAGAAGAAATTTATTGCCAAAAAATAATGGTGGACGTAGACAAGATGATCGTAATCTTATTAATGTTTGGTTGAATGATAAAAAGCAACGAGGATTAGAAGCAAAATTTGTATCGAATATTGAAATGCTTCGCGAATTTGATTCCGATAAAGTCGATTATCTTTTAGGTATTATTATTTTTGTTTTACGTAAATGACGAATCGAATCATGTTATTTGATAAGAAAAACTTTTCACTTATATTTCGATTTAATTATAATCTTTTTTTTGAAAAAATGGAATCGATAGGAATATTTGCCGACAATCATATGGCACATGAAGCTGATCGAAATGATACTATTGAACCATCGTTAGCTTTAATGTCATTGAAAGCGATTGAAATTTTAAAACATAATCCACAAGGCTTTTTGTTGGTTATTGAAAGTGGACGTATTGATCATGCACATCATTTAAATAATGCATATCGTGCCTTAACCGATACACTTGCATTAGATGATGCAGTTGAACAGGTGTATCAAAAGGTTAATAAATCAAATACATTACTGTTGGTTACAGCTGATCATTCACATGTATTTGCATTCGGTGGATTTCCTGCACGTGGAAATCCTATTCTTGGTATTGATGATCAAACAAGTGATTCGGATAAATTACCCTATACAACATTAATGTATACAAATGGGCCTGGATATCGAAAATTTCGCGAAAATCTATCTGAAATCAATACGACAGATCGTGATTTCATACAACAATCTGCCATTCCTAAACGATGGGAAACACATGGTGGTGAAGATGTACCATTATATGTAACTGGTCCAAGATCCGAAATATTCGCCGGCATTATGGATCAAACATTTATTCCTTATGGCATCAGTTACGCCACCTGTATGGGGCCAATGGAACCATTGTTTTGTAAAAAAGATTCAAATTTTCCCATTCATAATCAGAAATCAAATCATCATTATAATGATAAACATCAATCACAATCGATTTCAATCGTCGATAACAATAATGATAAACAACAATCCGATGGAGACATTAATGATGAGTATGATGATGATGATGTGCATGAAAATCAACGTAATCAGCGTAATCAACGTCATCAAAATCAACATCGACAACAACAACAACAAACTGAAAGCCTTGGCCATTATCATTATCATCATGAGTTTGTATTTTCCTCAACATCTTCATCAACGGATAAACCTATGGATAATTTTTCAAATAATCAAAGTCATATTGTTGTTTTGGACAATGTCCATAGTGTTGATGATGATATGAAAATTGTCAAAACAAAATTAAAAGCTAAACAACAACAACAACAACAATATCGACGTCGACGACCAATAAAATTTAATAATGATAAAAATGATTTTGATTATCATCTGAGAATATTGACATCATCTTCATCAACAACAACAACATTGAAATTGAAAATAAATTTAAGAATAATAAATATTATCATTATAATAGTTATAGCGATGATCTAGTAAACATCATAAACATTGATAAATGAATAGCTAGCTAGTGAAAACTTAGAAATATCATTGAAAATAAACATTTCATTGCCAATAATATTTGATGACAACGACAATCATCATAAGACTGTTATCATCAATGATTATTTGTCTCTGTTCTCATCTAAATTCTTATATTCTAACAACTAAATCCAATTAATCATTTTTTTGTTTCTACTTTGTTATCAATGATTGGTGGACATTTAATCAAATTGATACAACACACACAAACTCATCAATCATTTTTTTTCAATCATTCGACAACAATAACAAAAAAAAAATTTCAATTAAAATTATTAAAAATTGAAATTTATATAATTTTTTGCGCTAAAATATTTTCTTCTTATCGTTTGTTTTCGAAAAAAAATTTATTGATTGCTTGGCTATAATAATAATATCGCAGGAAAAAGGAAGTTGATCGTACAAACATGAAATCAAATTCATGGAAAAAACACACATCAAATAAATAGGCTCATAATCATCATCATCATCATCAATTGTTTTGGTTCTTCTTTTTGTTATTGTTGATGATGATGATGATGGAGAGGGAATTATTATGCGCGTAGCTATCCTCCCCTTTAATGATGATGATGATGATGATTGCCTATACGTACATAGATCAACTTGATGATGATGATGATGATGATTATGGCCATCATCATCATCTTCGTTTTCTTTTTTCTTTTTGATAATAATAACAATCATCATCATCATCATCATAATCATCATCATCATCAGTATCCGAATAACAACAACAACAACAACAATAACGACATCATCATCATCATTATCATCAAGGAAAAATGTATAAAAAAAACAGAGAGAAAGAGAGAGAGAGCCGAACTTGAAAGATTCGGTCAGGCGGCTGTATGCAGCCGTTTTTTTCTTTCTATTCTTATTTCTTTTTATTTATAAGATAGTGTTTTGATTATAATGAATCCAACATTGGTAAACACACACATGTGGATACAATGCATCTTGCCATCATCATCATCATCATTATTATTATTACCGATTTACCAAGTAGAAAATATAGAGAGAGAAATGGGGCCCTAAACATCATGCATGATGTTATTGGATATAGAAAGAATAACAACAACATGTAGACGACGGCTATCATCATCATCATCATCATCAATTCAATGGATCCACTACCCAAATACCATCCTCTATAGTCAATCAACCAGGCAGACCAATCATCATCATCATCATCAGATATTTGGCGCGAAACATTTCGTTTTTTTTTAAATATCCATTTTTTCGAATATTTAGTGTTTAAGGCAGTAAAAGGCACTATCTAAATCTGATCCATTCATTTGCTATAGTCATCATCATCATCATCATCATCAAGGAATTTTTTTTAACTGAAAAAAAAATTTAATAACAACAGCATCATCTTGATGATGATGATGATGATGATGATCGTATTTTGTTGTTGCTGATGCATTTTTTTTGGGGTCTGCTATAGCGAATTTAATGACATCATCATCATCATCATCATCATCAGTTCTATTCTATTGCCTAAAACTTGATGATGATGATGATGATGATCATCATCATCATCAGCTTGGTCTTCGTGGTAATCATCATCATGATGATGATGATGAAAAACATCATGGACTTGCAGCATTTTAGATATTTTCAGGCAAAAAATGCAGTCATTTTTTCCTTTTTTGCTAGATGTTCTTTTCATTTCAAAAAAAGATTATTCAAGTTTTCGACTTAAAGTCCATGTTTATTTATGAATTTATTTCTATGTTGCATTTTATTCTTGGTTCTTGATTAAACAAAAAGAAAAGAATTCTCTTTTTTTCTAGTTTAATCAAAAGAAATAAGCAAAGTTTTTTTTGTTCAAATAGGATATATTCTCTAATCGATTCTACATTTGAAAACAAAAAGTTTTGGTTTCGACAAATCATTCATCTATCAAAATATAACAATTGAAAACAAGAAAACAAATTAAAATAAATTTCATAATCATTGATGATATTTTTCGAACACTACTTTTATGAATCGATCGTAAACAAATCGCTTTATTTTATCAATTTTACGACAAATACACCCCCCGAAAAGAATTGTGACATTTTTTTTGCATGTATATGTGGCATTTTGTGTTGCAGAAGTTTTTTTTTTGAATCAATATGTCATACATTTTTGGTTACAGTCACAATGAGAAAAGCAGTCCAACTTGAAATAGTAGCGGCAAATATTTCTTCCATCAAAATGTATCATATTGAAGAATCATTTTTCGCTTTTTTTATGTACAAAACAATTGTGACTTCACCCACTTAATACAGCAAATTTTTTTTCCATTAACACTGCAAAATTGTAGCGAAAAAGAGAGAAACAAAAAGGAAGAAGCAAACAAGCCAAGTTAGCTCCTTGAAATCAAATCAAGTAAAGAATGTGTGTGCACGTATATCTGAAAAGGAAAAAGAAGATGAAAAAAATACTTGTAAATAAACGCATGCGTAATGTCATTAAGCATGGGTGAGTCGTCAACAGCATCAACAGCAGCCATTTTCGTCATCAACAACAATATGGATATGAACAAAACAACACAAGCTCACTGACTGATTTTTATTACAGTTGCCACTGCATTTACAACAGCAGCTAAAAAACTAACCAAGAAAGTGAACAAGAGTAAAAGAGAGAAAAAAAAAGATTGAAAGATACAACAACAACAACAACAACACAAGGACCAAATGTAATACATACATGCATACACATACAACACATAATACACCGAAGGCAAATAATGAAAAAAATATCCAACAAAGACAAGCAAGAGTTAGGTTAGCCTTTTTTCTTATTATTTCTCTGTTCCTGGTTCTTGGTCCTGGTTGTCTTTTTTTTTCTTTATTCTTTATTTGTATTTGTACAAAAGCCACCCACTCAGATACATACGAATTCGAATAACAACGACAATCAAGACGTAAAATCCATCGACATAAGAAAAAGTTCAATCAAGTTTTTGATCAGAATTTTTTTTCAATGTTATTATTATCATTACATTAACAAACTGTGTTTGTGTGTTTCAGTGCAAAAAGATTGTCACCAAATTGGATTAATTTTTCTCAATCAAATTCCAGTGGTTTATGTTTGTTGACTCTTAATTTCGATTTTCGTTCAAGAATGAAAATTGTGCAGAATATGAATTAAAATTACGATGTGAAAATCATTCATCATAATTCCGATTATGAATCGGTGAATTTTATATGATGTTTAGTTGATCAGTTTATGTTTAACATATTTCAAGATTCAAGAAACCATCCTTAAATGTGAACTGGATAAAAATTCGATTGTTACCTCAATTTTATCATCAATTCCTTTTTCCTCAATTTTATCATCAATTTCACAATCATTCCAAATCTGCATTATATTTTTAAAATAATTGATTTTTTTCGGTGAGTGAAAAATTTTGTGAAAAGAATTCTAATTTTGATTCGGTTTTTTTCGATTTGTCTTCGGGTAGAAAAAAATTAAAGAATTTTCTTTTGAATGTTCAACTATCTTGAAATACAAATCCTACATAGTCGAGATATTTCGATTTAATTACAAACTTGGAAAAATCGCAAATGGATTTTGCCATCTACGATAATCATTACATACGACGTTTTGAACAAATCATTTCAAATCAAAATGACAATAGTAACAGTAGTAATAATAGTTCAAAAAGTAATCTAACAAAAAAATTACGTTCACCATTGTCACTAGAACAACGTGAAATGATTAATGCAAAACGTCGTGTGTCAGCATTGACAGATGAACAACGTGAACGACGTAATGAAAAACGTCGTGTCACATCATTAACACCGGAACAACGTGAACGCATTAATGCTAAACGTAGGGTCGCCTCATTAACACCTGAACAACGTGAAAAACGTAATCAAAAACGGCGTGTATCATCATTATCACAGGAACAACGTGAACGTCGTAATCAGAAAAGGCGTATATCATCGATGACACCTGAACAAAGAACAATGGTCAATTCAAAAAGACGCCGCAGTACTTCTTCATCATCGAATCATCATCATCATCAACACCATAATCATTCACATTCATCAACAATAACGGTTAATCAACAAGGCCAACATCAACAACAGAATCATCATCAACAACCACAACAGACATCAGCGCAAATTTTATTGAATCATGCGACAACGCATGGAATAAAAGTGGCTAATCTTTCAACCACACAACAACAACAACAACAGCAACAAACCCAGATAATGCCATCAACACAGGAATTTCTTGTTCAAATATCCGACACAATGGATCCGAATAAAGCGACAATGGTTACAATAGCAACAGGACCGGCTATACCGGGTGCCCATCATAATAATCATAATTCAAATAATAATAATAATCAAACAAATCAGATAACATCTTATGAAAATCTATTTCGACATAAATTTTCACAGTATTCACCGCAGGATATGGAAATATTACAAACGATTCGCAATACAACCATAATGAATCGTCGTTGCTAGCTATAAATATGGAAGATAAACTATTTTAATATATATATAAATGACATATATCAGTTATCAATAGATAGTCACACCAACAATGATCATCACATTCATTTTTCGCTTTGTTCAATTTCCCGCCTTTTCTAAATTTTTCATTTCATAAACATACACAAACATTTATGAATAACACACTTACATTATACTATTCATTCGATCGATCATTGAATCAATTTATATAAATTATCAAAAAAAAATCATTCATTTTAAATGATTATCATCATCATCATCTTATTGAAAAACATGAAACTTAATTGATACTTTTTTTGACTGTAAAATTTTTGAAAAAAATTCATTTGAACAATTCATTTCTGACACACAAACACACACACACACAACAAAATGGTTCGAAGAAAATAAATGTTTATCGAATTTCTTTACGTTCATTTATTTGGTTTTTGGTTCATTTTTTTTTGGCTCTAGTCTTTATTATATTGAATTGAAATGTAAATTTCTACAAAATCACACACATGCATGCTATATCTGGAGAATGAAATTCTTAAAACCAAAATACAAATTTTATTCACTATCTACACCTACAAACAAAATAAATTTTTACACTGTCGTATATTTTTCAAAAACAGAAAATCAAATTCTGGTGTTCATTTGGTTATTCTTCTTTTGTTATATGATATCTCAATACTTGGATTCCAATTTTATTAATGATAATTGTAAATATTTGAGAAAAAAAAATTGTTCATTTTTTCTTTCATTATCAAATCGTCTTTGTCATATTGAATCAGCTTTAGATAATTTTTACTACTACTACTACTGCATCGTTTTCTCGCTTTCTTTTTATTGAACTTTCAATTGAAATTGGATTTTTTATGAATTTCATTCATTCATTCATCAATGATGATAATAGCGATTGATGCAAAAATGATTTTGAAATAATCCAAAAACCGGACATACACTTACACACACATCTATAAACAGACATGATGATGAAATAAAAATTTGAATTTTTTTTTCATAAATTGGTTGTGTTTTTATATTTTTAACTGTATCATTTTTGAATTTAGCAAAGAAATATGCAAATTTTGTTGTGTTTTAGTGCTAGTCTTTCATTGTTTTATTTTTTCATAAAAAATATTCAATCAATTGAATCAGATAAAAGTTTTTTTTTCAATCAATTCATCATCTGCATTTTTTTTCATCCGCAAACTTATATGAACGAAGTAGAATCTTCATTTAAAAAAATATTCCTTGACTAACCAACCAGTAAAGAAGGTGCAAGCCGCGAAAGCAATGGTCACGATTCCAATTTTCATTGTACTTGGGGCCAAAAAGCATGCTGAAAGCAGGCCAACAATAGCTGATCCAATAGCAGCCCCACCACATATCATATTCTCCTTACCTACACCCTTTATTTTATTCTCTGCATCGTCTATTATATTCCTCTTAACCCGATCCTGTTTTGTATTGGCTTTTCTGTTTTTTGGAATGTTAGCTTGATAAAATTTATCCTCCTTAGTAAATTTCAACGAATTAGGACCGACACATTTTTTTTGAAAATCATTACGATTATATTTTTGACATATCGCATTCATCATAGTATCCTGGTCCAATTTGTCAGCCCAATATTTGTCACATTTTCTTGCTATTTCAAGTTGACATTCTAGATTTTCCCAATGAAAACAACAAAATCGCCTTGTTGCTGTATTCTGGCCAAATATGATTAAATTAGTATTGTGGATGGAAAAAAGAAGCTGTTATTCTCACTAAGCACTCACCAGCTGTGTGGAAGGAAGTTTCCATTTTGCAATCAATTTTTTCTGACATTCGTTGTAGGCCTTCTTATACTCAAGCGGACAATGTTCAGGTACTTGATCATATCGTTTATAACGGATATGCTGATAACATCCAGCATTGTTGATCAATAAAAATAAAGAAATCATCATCCAAATCATCAATGGCCACATCATATTCATTCAAACAATTCGCATTGGTTATTAATTTGAATCAAGAGTTGTTGATCCGTTTAAATAGGCTGAACGTTAATTTGAACAATTCTTTTTTTTATTGACTGTTGATTGATTTGTTGTGTTCGGGAAATTGCACACATAATGAAGCCATCGGGTTACTGTGTAAAATCAAATCAATTCTAATCAAATTTAATGAAAACATTATAGATTTCACATACAAATGATGTCTCATTTATCACTAATAATAATTAACACTCAGACTTGATAATAAAATAAAAATTCGAATTTTTTAATGAAAAAAGAATTTGCGTTTATATAATAAAAATTAAAACAGTATCAATTTTTGAATTGAGCAAAAAATATGCAAATTTTCAAAATATAATTCTTAAAATATTGTTGTAACAGTTGATTGATTTCTACGATATCGACCATAAAATACATGTGATGGCCGATTATTCCGGTATATCGGGTTCAAAATTTCGAGTTTTCTTTTGACTGGAATATGATCATGATATAGAAAGAGAAACCAATTTGGTTGTTGTGAGAAACCGACATGATTAACAACATTGGAAATCGAAATCTCCAATTCTTGACGAAAACCATCCAAACCGAAAAGACGATAAAATCGTATCTGATCACATAAATGTACCATCAATAGATCCGAGGAATCTTGTTGTGTGTAATGATTAGAATATAAGGCCAAATTTTTTATCCGACCGGTATGAATTTCTTGAACCTTTTTTAAAATTTTAAGTGAATTGAATTAGTCAATTTAAAAAAAATCATACCTTAACATATCGTACGCCATCTTTTGTCCCAAAAACGTACAACAATTCAAAATTCAAAATATTGTTGAAAATAATAAAATTTTTATAATCACTAATCTGGCGATTAGCCATTATGACCATATGTTCTGGACAAACATTGACTATTGTATCCAATGTTTGCATTTTGAAATCTGCCTCTACAGTTAAAATTTCCAAACGTGATTCATATGGATGATTAATTGAAACCAATAACAAATTCTGCCAACGATAAATCTGGTAAAAAATAAACAATTTTTCAAAGAAAAATAAGTTACTAAATATAAATAATGTCACATTGCACACATACCGATTGTATTCGACCATACATTCTGTATTGACCATCTTTGATTGGATAAATTTCAATACGATTCATATGACCAATATGTAAAATATTCAAAATATCATCATTGGCTAGAATTGCGTAGGACGGTGTCTGATCAAGTGCTAAAATCATTTGATCCATAATCGGATTTTGCTTTCGATACTGTTGATGATTATCATTAGCAAATAGTGAAACTTTTAAAGGCATTAGATGATGATGATTCTGTTGAAAAGTGTTTGTTTGACTGAAAAATCGTAGACTTTGAAACCAAATACCATCACCATTGTTGCTATCGTACGATGAATTAGTGTATGTTGAAATATCATTCAATCGTAAGCATTCAAGTAGATATGTTTTGTGGAATGAATTTTTCAAGTATGAAAATAATAACCATACATTGTCAATTTGTTCAAATGCTAATAACGTTCCAGGATAATAAAAAGTATGATGACGTTTCCAAATGTTAACAGTTTGATTGTTATAATTACAATAAACATCAATCTGATTGCATATTGATAATGAATTCAGACTGAACACGGAAGATTGAAATATACAAATCCAAGAATTCGACAGCATTGTAATAGATAATGGCATTGAAGGATGATCATCATGAATTAGATTCAAATCTTTATCCAGATCAATTTCATATAAACGATCAAAATATAACAATTTCGAGCCAATGACCTGAAGATTTTGCCGCACCGAATCCAAATGTAAGCGTGCCTGACGAACATCATGATCCATTTGTCGTAAATAATTTGTAGTATTTGTAAAATGATTCAATATCGTTATGTTGACATTATCAATAAATGATTGCACATCAACATTGTTCACGAATAATTCATTAACACGGACTTTTGTTTTGATAATATTGTCACTATTCTTTTTGACTAGACGATGTTTCAGATCATTTAGTTTAATATCATTGATTTTTTCAACCAAAAATGTCGTATTAATCAGAACATCTCCCGACAGAATTGTTAGGCCATGAACAGTTTGATCGAATGATTTGAGTAAAAGATTTTCACGTGAAATAGTAACATTATTCAATGGTCGCGTATGTAGTATATGAACATCAACATTGTCGAATGTTTTCATGCCATAAATGGTATAATTTTTATCACTTTGTGCAAGTACAGCATCGTTTAAAAAACGATCAATATTGATATTGGAAATTTTTCTACCCTTCATCACAGTCATACTATGATTGACATTTAAATCCTGTGTGAATTCAATTTCTTCAGTAAACGTATTGATCGAACGTTTTTTATGCATCAGTTGATCGGTTACGATTTCATTGATCCATTTAGCATTCAAATGTTTATCAATAATAATTTCGGTATCAAAATGTATATTACCACCGTATGTTTGATCACCATATTGTCTTAATGCATAATGATTTATACGTCCTAAATCTACACCATTAATAATATCCGTATCCGATTGTAGATTATTCACTTGTACATCATCTTCAAATCGTACGTTACGCAACACTAGATTTGTCTGAACTTCTTGATCGCGTGTTACGCTCATATAATGGTCGAATATATAATCCAATTTTAAATCATTTATATAACCATTAACAATAGTTGGTCCATTCAATACGAGTATATCAATCATTTTTTTACCAATAATTTTTTGACCATTATAATCATGTCTTAATGCTCGAACATTAAGATCATCATACGATAATCCATTAATCAATTCGAATTGTACTGGTGCCCAGAAATCAACATTTCCATTGATCACTAATGGTTTAGCTGTTTCATATGATGGTTTATAAACTTGCCCGCAAAAATAATCAATATCGATCTTATTGATTAAACCTTTTACATTTAGATCTTTCATTACAGTTACATTGTTGACAAAATGAATATTTCCTTTGATTTTCTGCGCTCCTGTATAATTACTACTCAGTACGACGTCTTGTCTTAAATCGATTTCGTTCAGGCGTCCATTCAGAAGAATGTCTCCTATATTTGAAATTTTTAAAAGACAAAAAAAATTGTCAATCATCGAAATGAAAATAATGTTAAGCTATATTGAACAAGCATTCAATTACCCATGACTTTGACATTTCCAAAGAATTCAATTTCACTTAGAATAGATGTTTTACGATCTAACCAAACAACTTCATCGAATAGTCGATTCAAATCAATATTGTTCAGATGACCATTATGAATATAAACGTTCTGTACAGTTAGATGATCGATGGAAAAATTTGCTTGTAAATGTCGTGGCTGTGATGACCACCATCCATGTCCATTGATCAACCAATTGTATTGCATTTCATAAACGGTGATATCATCAAATAGATGATCAAATTCAATCTGATCAAAACTGACTTGACCAATAAAATATTTGGGGGCCGATATATTCTGCCACTGTTTTGCCGTTGGATGTGCTGTTACAATATCATTCTCAAGCCATTTCAATGGAATTCCATTTATTGATGGGCTTGTAAATTCTTCATTCGGTGCGATTACCAATGATTTGAAACGAAATTCTTTCGAAATGTTTTGCCATTCACGACGACGAATTGAATAGTTGATTATTTCATTCATATTAATATCGTTTATACTATCCACGATTAGATCACCAATTATTAGAGAATTGAATATTATAGAATTTCTTTGATTGTTGAATTGTTTGATTCCGTTTATCCATTTGGATGTTTGACCATAATTTTCAACATCATTATTAAAAACGATATCATCGATTGGAATATCGTTGATATAAGAATCAATAATCAATGATTGCACATGAACATCACCATGAATCTCTTTAGTTCCATTCACTAATTGATCGCCAGAATTTTTCAGAACATTATCCAACATGATTGTCATGCTATAATTATTTAAACGATCGATTCTAGTATATCCATGAAATTCAATATCACTAAATGAATATTGAGCCAAATTTATCATCTGCGGTGTCGTACGGGTTAACAAATCATTAGCTAAATCGATACCATTGATCGTATTACAATCTAGATAATTAACATGAAGACGATCAAAATGAACATGTTCTAATGCTAAATTTGACCATTGATCGTCTAAAGTCAATGATTCTTCTACTAATTTATGAAATTGTTGTTTTGTAATTGAATTTATTGATTCAAACCATAAGCCACCTTCAAAACGGGCAATATTTTCGATATGTAATGTATCAATATAGGATATTGATGGCCGACGACGACTTCGTTGTTCCAGCTCACCAATATTCATACCATTCAGTAGTCCGCCAATGTAGCTATTGTTATTACCACGAATCGATAGATTATGTAAAATTTTTTTACCAGTTATATTTTGTTCTACATCATCATCATTGATCACAATATCGGGCATGTCTAAATAATATTTTATAAATAATAAATATTTAAAATTATGGTCAGGAAAAAAATTCAATAGGATAATTATAATAATAATAATTGATACTAACCATCAATCAATGCCAAACCATTCAATGTTTTTGATATGTTCAAATTTTGAATATAAACTTGATCATTAAATATTTTATGACCAACAATCGTTTCGAACTGATCTGTTCGTATAAAATCATCGGGTATATTTCGATTATTTATTCTTCGTACATTTAATTTAGCCAATATTGATAGATTATATTGAAAATAACAATCACCGGTTATTGTTTGATTCGGTTTATTTAACCATAGTGCTTGATCATAAATTTCTTCGATATCAAGCTCATTCAAACGACCACCCGATTCGATTATCAAATCATTAACAATTAATTTGTTTGCAAATTCAATAGGCATTGTCAATGAAAATGGCTGATCTATTCTAATGATCGAATATAGAAACGAATCAAAATCCATTCCATTCACATTGATTGCATTTATTTGTCCGGATCGTAATTTTTGACTTACAACATGCACGGAATTTAGTATACGCTGTTCACCAATAGTTAGCAAAACATTTTCAGAATCGAAACGTTTACCATTGACAAATTGAGCATTAATTAAATCATCAACAATCAATGTTCGATAGAAACGTTTATGACCCGTTATCATATGATTTCCATTAACTGTTACAATATTTGTCGCATTATATCTTTCATTTATTAATGCATTTAACCAAATTGAACTATTTACTTGATCAATATAGTCAAAAAACATTGGCTCATTAATTTGTAATTGTAAATTATTATTACTATAATCAGATAATCGAATCTTGATGATTTCAAAATATAAATCACGAATCATTTTACCATTGAGATAATCGGTGATTATGTTCATTGTTGTAGGTAATTCAATCATTGATGGTATTACTGAATATAATTGATGATGATTCGACACTGAAGAAATTATGTGATTACCATCATATTTCATTATGGACAATGAATAAAATGAAAAATTTCCGATAATTATCTGTACTTGTGCTGAATTAATAAAAACAGCATTTGATGTAAGTAATTCATGGCCTTTTTGTATCTCTTTTTCAATCGAAATCAATTGGCGTTTCATGCTTGATAATTCGTTAAAATATTCACTATTTAATGTGAATGCATTATTCACATGACGATAATTATCAGTCTCGACAATAGTTCCATAATGTTCAGGCACGGCAAGTGTACCACGAATTATTAATGGGTCCGATTTGAAATATGATTCGTGGAAACGTTTTTCGATTCGAGTACTATGTTTTTCTAGATCTGCAATTTCATTTCGTTTTATATGACACCAATTCAAATGATCAGTCCATAATTTGAATAGATTATTATCATGAAAAAAACGAATCGAATATAATCGGATTCCATTCATTGCACCAATCATAAGATAAACGCTGTTCGATGGCGAAACTTTTTCATCATCAGAATTAGATTGATATTGTTCCAGATGATATGAATTGAAAATTCTTTTCAAATAAATTGGTTGCATAGGATTAACATAAACTCGAATATTGATTGGTGAATATATAAAACGCAATGAATTATACGTGACAAAATAAATATCATTACTTTGTAGAATAATAGCCATTACGAACATTCGATTTACATCACCATATGCATTTACATGACGAATCGGTCCTGATGAAATGCGTTGAAATACAATAAATTCATGTTTAGATTTTAAAAATTTATACATAACAATATGATTCACTTCAATTATGGCTAAAAAATTTTCCTGATTAATGCCATGACCAATGTTAAAATATTCAATACCGATCACTTTTTCACTACATTGAATCGATTGAATGAGTTCCAATCGTTCCATATAATCATTATATCGTAGAATAGAAACATCTTTAGGCATTTGGCTATTCGAGTCATGACCATAACCTAATGCTAGATAAGATATTCCACTTAATGTGAATGCATAAATGGCATTCAAATCATTGGTTACTGGCCAAACAAATTCAACATGATCAAAATAGGTTCCAACAAATTTGAACAATTTCAATACGCCTTCAAATATATCATGTACAATAATCAGGTGGCGTTTTTCCCAGATGGCCACATTTGTTGTCGAAATTCTTTTTAAACTAGCCAAATGATTTTGATAAATTATTTTATTGTTACTATCGACCTGTATCCATTTGATATTCTGTTCATTTATTGTTCGTTTTTCATTCACCAAAATGATAACTAATATCTCTTCGTCATTAGTTGATGACAATGGTGAACGACGTTTATCGACAAATGCTAAAATTTTTTTCGGTCTAATCATATCAAACAATGTGTATTCGTGCATTATGGCCGTTGATTTTAGTTCATTGACGTTGTCCATTTTTTTATCGTTGTTATCAATGGCACCAAAAAATAATTTGTTTTGTTGTATCGAATCTGTTATATTTTCTGTTGTAGACATTTTCATTGTTTGTTGATGTTTTTGACTATCACTATTTGCTTCTTTTATCAGACAAACAATATATTGATTATGATTAAATTTGACAAGAACAAAATCGATTATGAATCCTTTTTTCGAACAAATTGTCTGCAATCGTTTGATTGGTCTTTCATTTTGTCGTTGGCCTTTTGGATCACCATCAACATTATTTTGGTCTTCGACGCCACCATCTTCGTCTATTGGAACAATCTCTGAAATCAATTGTATTCCCTTGACACATGGCAATGTTTGAAAAAAAATTGAAAATAAAAGAAAATAAAATGAAAATAAACGAATGACAAAAAAAACAGTCCAATCATGATTGGAAGGGTGGTAAGATTCGAAAATAATTTTGGATTTTTTTCATCCCTTAATACAAGCGTTTTCAAAAATTGTGTGTAACAACAATGACAGAGAGAGATAACGACAACAAACAAACAAAAATTAAAAAAGAAATACATCACGAATGAAATCTGGAACAAAATAATCGTCTGAATGTATTGATCTACGCCTTCTACGAGCTGGTTCAACAATGTCCTCATCATTCTCTTCATCACCATCATTATTCGTTGCTGTTGTCATTGAAAGTGGAGGCGGTGATGGTAACATGTTTCTAATATGAATTAGTTCATTATAAAATTCTTCGGTAACTTTTTCCATTTCGCCAACAATTTCATCTGAATTGAAATCAAAATATAAAAAAAAATAGATATAATATGAAAAATGAAGAATTGGTTCGCTGTTCTTCTCATTATTATTTTCCAGTTCACTTGATCTGGTTTTTTAATTGTAATTGTAATTAGGAAAAAAACAAGACAAGATAGGAAAAACATAAATAAATAAAAAAAAGAAAAGAAATATAATTCATGAATCTGCTGCAACAGACAGTAGACAAAAAAAAGATTTCGTTACAAACTAACCATATGTATAAAGTTTTTCATTATTATTATCATTACTATTTTCCGTCATGACAATATTGTTAGCAAAATCATTGTTAAAAAATATATTTTCCGTTAATTTTGATGATGGAAAATTTGTAACAATTTCTAAATCATCATTATCATCAACAGCAACAACATTAGAATAGTCGCTGTTATTGTCATTGGATGTTGTTATTGGAGAAAATTTGGTACGAATTGTTCCATCATGATGATACGTATGAAATAATGGCAATACAAACAAGAATAAAAATAAGAACCAAATGAATGAATTTTTTCGAAAATGATAATTATAATTATAATGATGATTTACACGATTCATGATAATAACGCATGAAAAAACTAAGCGAAAAAAAATGTTGTTTTCAGTAACATAAAAGAAAATAAAATAAAATGGAAATTGTTCTCAATGCGTTAATGTTGATGATGCCCAAAATGATGATGATCGTCAAAGGAAAAAAAACATTCAACTCAGAGACAAAATAAAATTCAATTTCATTTATTTCCAAATGATAAAATTCATTGTAGATGGCATGTTTCAATGTCAATGTTTTTTTTTCAATCATTAGTCTTTTTAAAAATGATAAATTTTCAGTGAAATCAAATCAAATTTAATAACATCTGACAAAGGAATTTGAAAACAAAATGAAAATATAAGAATTATTTTTTTTTAAATCAACCACAAAAAAAATGATTTTTAAATTTAAAATGGATGTTCATGGAAGTGAAAACAAATCTGATTAAAAAAAAACACAAATAAAAAACAGACCAGAATTTCAAGATCATTTTTTGTAACAAGACTTTTTTCTCTTGTTATTTATTGTTCTGTTTTTTCTTTCGTTTTTTTTAAAGTTATTTGCATTTTCATCTCTAAACATAAAAACAGAATATAATTCCATTACATCAATGTATCGGACAAAGTTAAATCCAAAACAAAACTGAATTAGTTGTTTTGTGGGAGGAAGGAAGAAGATGGATTCAAAAAAAAAAAATTCAAATCAATAAACGAATTCTCAATAAATCAAGTGCACCATTTACAGGAAATGAAAATATAGAATAAAAACGGAATTCTTCATCGTGTTTGAATGATTTTGAAAGTTTACGCTTGATATTGTTATTCCACTTGAACTTTTTTTTCAGTTGTTTTCAATGTTTTTGGCTCAGAATTTTTGTTTCGAATATATTTTGCAAAATAATAGTTGATCAATCAACTTCAAAAATACAATCTGTGTACAGATGAATGAATGGAAAAAAAAATAAAATTTATATCAAACCGATAAAGAACCGAACTTTGCTCGGACATTCATTCATGTGTTTGTCATTGATGATAATGCCGGTATTGGATAACTTTTTCTGTTCAAATAAAAATTCAGCTAACATCATTTATCACTTACTTAATTTGAAAGAAAGCTTTATAGAATATTCTTTCATCATCAAAGAAAATCAGTGAACAAATACATTTTTTTTTTGCTTTTCTGCTTTTTGATAATGAAATTTAAATCGAATGAAAGAAAAACTAGCAAATAGGGTAAAGTATAAATATACTTTAATGAAGGAGAGTATAAGATCTGGATCTTGTGCAAGACCTCGTCCATTTTGAAAATAAAATATATATTATTAACAATATTGGAATGAAAAAATGTATAAATAATACTGCCAATCAACAGTGAACAAACAACATAAGAAATCATAACAAACCAATAAATACAAAAATATCAACAATTTTTTCTTTTATTTTTGGATTTCAGAATTCATGAAAGGTTCATGACCGTTTTTTTTCTTTCGAAAATAATATATAAAAATAAGATTCCTTATTATTCTTTGTATTCGATTTTTTTTCTCTATTATTATTATCATCATCGCCATTCAAACTTTAGGTTTCACATTTTTTTCAAATAAATTGACGGTACGGATGATTGGGTGTTTTTTTGTTTGTATTTATAAGGTCTAAAAATCCGTATATCAATTGAAGCTAATTGAGTTGAATGATCTTAATAGAGAGTCGGCGTCACGATTCTGATAGCTAAGGCCATAGATTTTACATCAAATCTAATATGGCTTTTTTCATCATTATTGGCCATATTGAAGATTCCAATGATTTTTATAATCTTAAAAAAAATATATTTTCAAATTTAATTGAACATTTTTTTAAATAAATCTACACACAATACATATGAGGAAAAATGATCATGTAATATGTCATTTAATCTCAAATATATTTGGATCGAAATTTTTTGTTTTACATTTGATCCAAGTTTGATGTCAAGTTTTCTACACCACAAAAATCAAACATATGTATTCTATAACAATAAGGCTATTCATTTTTTTCATATATTTCCTTTGTATAAATGACAATCACAAAAAAAATACTACATACATTTACCATTATCATTTTTTTCAATTGTCATTCATTCTTTGTTTGTGATAATGATGTTTGGCAGTTTTTTTCCCCAATTCAACTCATTTTCTATGATTTTATTTCCGATTCAAGATATTTTGATTAAGAATTTTACTTTGTTTAATGTATTTTATCCGAACACAATGCAAGAATTTGTTTGTTTCAGCTTTTCGATTGATTTTTTTTTGTACTTTATTTGTTTATCATACAATGGTTGAATGTGATGATTAAAAAGTATGTTGAAGTATTGTCGATATGCTATTTTACTGTGTTTCAAACATCACCAATACGATGATTTTATTCTTGTCATTTATTCTACAATATGATTCATTGTTCCACAAATAAACACAATTGTCAATTCGTTTTTGTTTTTTTGCTGGTTTTTCAGTTTTGCATTTGATACAAACAAAAAATATAGTCGTTTTTTTTGTCGTAATGATAATAGTAAAATCAACATCATCATCATTGACGATTGTGTAAATATATTCAATTTGTTTTTCTATTTTGATCCATTTTTAGCTGCTTATATTTTTAGTTTTTTTTTCTATAGAGTTTGAATAAAATAAATCATAAGAAGTATCATGAATTATCGATAGTAATAGCCGTAGTTGTTGTTGTTTATTTCTATTAATTTATTTATTTTCAATAACAAACATTTTCTTCCATCTTTTTAATCGTTTCAATACTTATCTATTGTTTGTTTGTATGTGTTTGTGTTAGCTACCGTTAGCTGATTTATTCAGTTAATAGTCTGGAATTTCCGTTTCGACTTATAAAAATACGCCTACACACACACAAACACTTAAAGTCAAAATGAAATTGCGCTTGATAAATAGCTTTGGTCAAATACATAGATAGAACAAGTGCAAGTGATAGAATAAAAGTCCTGAATCCATAAGAAAAATAACACTATTCTCTGCTATTCAAACGGTACACAAATTTTTTCGAGTACATTCAACCCAAATGGAACGGTAATTGAAAATATCGAATCATTAAAAAAATGCAATGTTGTTCATCATTAACAACAACAACGACAACAACTTGGTTATATGATAAATTTTTTTCATCATCATTCATCGTCAATGAGATGATATAAAAATTATGCAAGTAAAAATAATCGATTTTCAATAATCTCAACAATAACAATAACACAATTGAAACTAAATATAACAAGAAAAAAGAACTGAATATTCTTGTGGAAAAAATTGAAAATTGAAATCATTCATTCAAGCACATTGTAGAAATAACCAAATTCAATCATTCTTTTACTATTTTATTATTGTATTTGCATACTATCATTAGACATTGTTCGAAGGGCAGAATGTTAAAAAATTTTAGTATTAAATAAAATGCAAAAAAATTCTATTGTGAAAACTTTTTATTCTCTTCAAAACTTGAAATTGACAGATTGAAATTTTTCATTATTTATTTCCGAAACGAATTCCGTCGTTTTTGTTTTTTTGTTGTTGTTGGGTTCAGTTTTTTTTCGATTGACAATGATGAAGACATTTTGATGTTATCATGGAACATTGATCATTGTTCAGTGTAATCAATTCATTTTTTGTTCACTATTCTATTTAGATGGAAATTAATTCATTTTTTTCTTGAATAATAAATGAAACATTCAATTATTTTCATCATTTTCAACAATCATCATTTGTTTCAATATGGCAAAATATTGACCTTGAAATTCAAAATTTTATTTTTTTTTCATTATATTCAAAGCAAAAAAAAATGTATGATGAAATTTGAAACATGGTGGTGGTCTTTTTGTTATTTCATAATTTTATTTCTCTTTTCATTTGATAATCTAGTTTCGTTCGAATAAACATTTGTAAGTGAATAAAACCTACATAAAAAATTTTTCGAATGAAAGAATTTTTTTTCTCGGTAAGTTTGACATTTTTTACAGATAATAAACGATAAACCACCAAGATGTGTACGAGAATTGAATTGAAATTGTCTGATTGTTAGAATATTCTTATATTCATTATATTCAAAGAAAAAATACTTGATGGTGACAGTCGACTTACATTTCAAAACAGTTCATATGTTTTCGTTAACATTATGGAGTTAGATAAAGAAAATTAAGATGGAAAATATGAACTGAATATCTAGAAAAACCAACATTCCTTTAGAGATTAAATACATTGATAATACATTATTATGATGAAATATCCAGTTTATAAAAGAAATCTTAACCTTCAGATATATGGCGCCCAAATAGACAAAGGATTTAATTCGAATAAGTCAGCGAATTTAAGCAAGTAATACTCAGACATAGAAATAATCCTGAAATTTTGATTTGTATGATACAAAACTAAAATGATGATGAAATAAATTACAAATTTTGATGAAAAATATGTCAGTACGAATTATATTGCATGAAAAAACCAAAAAAAAACAACATTAAACAAAATGGCCATAAGTTTCAAATGATTACGGATGTTTCGCATATTTTTGAAGCTGTTTTACTGTTCATAGTCGATTCCATAACTTCGGGCCAATTGATTGATTTTTTCTATTGGAAAAAATATATTAAACAAACATTTGTTTCCGTTTGTTCCTAAAGTTTCATGATATAATGGAACAATCAAATGTTTATCTATTTATTGATGATGATGGTAGATGGCCTTTAGGGATTCAAAATTCTTGTTCATTCATGAATACAAATTTATCATAGGTAAAAAAACCAGAACAAAACAACATTAGCATTAATATGGACAACAATGGGCAAAAACTATTTGAAAAAGGAAAAATAAAAAACAAATAACGAGAACAATGAACCGAAAAAAAGAATTCAACAAGATGATTCGATTGAAAAAAAGACGAAAAAATTCAGCTAAATTCCACCAGGAAATGTAAATAAAAATTTAAATTCCAATAAAATAGAATGATGTTATTTCTAATAGATTAAAATTTAGTCATTTCCACTATCAACAAACACGCAATTTAGCCAATTTTCTTATGAAAAACAACAAAACATTTCCCTTTAAAAAAATTGCAACAAACATAAAAAAAACGAATGTTATCAATGATTAAATGTTTATCCGATAATTTTAATGTATTCGATTTCAAAACGAACAAAACAAAAAATCGAAATTAAAATAACTGAATCAACATACATGCAAAAACATTTTTATCATTGTGATTACATAATAATAACAAATTTATTCACAAATTATTTGAAATTGAATGAACAAAAAGAAAATGTGACAAGAATGGATCGTTTGTCAAAAAAAATAAGTAAATCGACCAAAAAAAACCAAAACCATTGTTATTGATAATCGATCATTTTTACAAAGATTTTTTCTTTGGTCAAATTTCAATGACAATAATGCGATAACAATAAGGGAAAAAAATGAAAATTCATTCAAACATTTTTGTTTCACAATCTCATGAAGTTTGTTTGTTTGTTATGAAAAAATAACAATATAATCTTTAATCATTTTATCATCATGATCATCAAATTTGTAATGTAACAATGTAAATTGTTATTATTGATCATATAAATATGAGATAACGACAGAAATGATGGAGTGATATGAAAACGAAAAATGTATGAAATTTTTCCTCCTCATTTTTTCGTGAGATTCATGTATCAAGAATTGTGTGTGTGTGTGTTTGTAATGTGTGTTGTTTGTGCATGTGCGTGTGGAAACAGAATTCTAGAATATTCTTATTATGTTTTATATCACCAATTTCTTTATTATTATTACAAATGATATTTTAAAATATCAAAAATATTCGCATTTTTCTAGGTCTTTTTTTCCAGATCACATTCTTTGTTTATATATTTTTCTCTTTTCATTTGCAGAACGACAAAAAAATGCATTAAATGAATGAGTAAATGAAAGGATTTGATTTTTTTTTAAATTAATTTTTTCTTTTTTTGGTGAAAAAAACAAGAAAAATTCATATTTCAAATAGGAAACAAAAGTTAAATTAAAAAAAAAACGGAGCAAAACAGTATTTTATTCTTTTGTCATTGTATTAGTATTGTATTTTTTTACTATTATTGTGTTTATGAAAGGGTTAATTTAACCCGTTGAAAAAATCATTACATTTACAGTTTGTTTTTTGTTTTTTTCATTATTCAATTCTTATGTTTACAAATGATCATTACCAATTTATTTGGTATTTGTAACTAACATAATTTAGTTGAATTAAGTTACATTCGAAAGATTGTGAAATATGTGAATTCTGTTTTTTAATGAAAAAATAACAAATTCAAACAATAAAAAGAAAACTAAAAGAAATTGAATATGTAAAAAGTGGGAGAAACAAAATTGAAATTGTTGTTTTTGTTTTCACAGGAAAAAAACAAATTAAATACGTACTGATAAGAATCAAAAGTTGATAAGAAGAAATAACTGGAAAATTCAACTTTAAACAATGAGCATTTATAAGATTTTAGTCATCTGATGAGAAAGAAAAAGGAGAACAAAAAAAAGTAGAAAAAAAATTCCCGAATAGGATACCCAAATACTTCCTCAACTGAATCTGAAAGAAAAATATAGTGAGGATGAAATTGTATTTCATTTGATCAAAAAAGAACAATAATATTTGTCATTGGAAAGTTATCTTGGACTGTATTGGTTTCATTTATTTGTTTGTTTGTCTTTGTTGTACAAATTGCAAACATTAATGATTGGTAATATGACATTCTACCAGGAGCTGCTGATAAGAGTTGAAAAAAGATCAAAAACAAAACAAAACGATATGAAATGAAAAAAAAGGAAAACTTTGTTTTTTTCTCAATTTTCTTTTCGACATCATATATCAATTATGACCAATGTAGTTAGTATTAATGTAATAGATGCTGTCGTTAAGAATTGAATTTTTGCGTTTTTCTTTTATATATTATTTCCAGAATTCAATGTAACAAAACAAAAATGATGGCAATCCAAACTCTATATATACTTTGATGATGATGTTCGACAAATACTGATAATGATGATTCTTGTAATAATAACGACGATAATGATGATTTATCAAAAAAAAAATGTTGTAATCCTTATATTGATAATGACATGGTGAAAAAATATTTAATGAATAGAATCAAAAATGAAAATTAAATGACAAAAAATAAAATTATTTGATGACAAAGTAATGATCCATGAAATAGTGTTTTGATAAAGTGAAAATATGTTCCAAACTATACTATTCACTTTGTATAAAGATTGTGTGTGTATGAACTAGAAAAGATAACAATTACTGGAACATCTGAATTTTTAGGCTGAATTTTCTTCATTGAATAAGAATGATGACCATTTTAGTTCTGATTATTAGTTTCTTTCATGGCAAAAATGGTGGTGGTGATGATGTTGATTGTTGATTTTGGCTATCTTTCGAATGACGACGTGAATTTGATGCAGATGTTTCTTTGGAATGTTTAGGATTTTTTTTAAATTTATTATCATCACAATAATTAACATCATCATCATGATTATTATAATCATTATTATCATTGTTGGCCGTTGTACTACGTTTCAATTCTGGTACAACAAGATCGGTATATAAATCGGATTGTAAAAATCTTACATATGAATCTGATTCGAGAAGACTTTGAATTTTTTTCTGTGCTTCATCAAATGTAAATTTTGATGGTGTTGCCAGATTTTTCTGTATATCCAAACGTAGATGATGATCCAGATTGACCTTTAGATTTTTTTATGTCAAAGAGAAAAAAAAAACAGAAAAATTAATTGTTTATAAACATTCATGAACATGAAATAAAATGGAAACAATTTACGAAACTGAAAAAAAACAAACTAAATTTATTGGAATTTTTCCTTTACATTCCTATCAGGGAACAAAATAGAAAAAAATACCATCAAAGTTAATGGTTTCATAAAAATGATCATGTGAACATTTGAAAAAATAAATATAAAATTTAAACAAAATTCAATGAATTTAACTGATTAAATGCATTATTTGAAAAACAAACACAATGAATGAGTGATGAAAATTATCGATTTACTATTTTCACTCAATTCATCTAAAGATGTAATACATATAAATATACAGAATTGATAAAACTGAATTCATTACTAAATGCTTACATTATGAAAAAAAAAGAATGCATAAATGAATAACAAACATTATGTTAATTACTAACTACATGGTTTTGTTGCTTTGATTTATTTAGGAGAACAAAAAAAAATCAAATGATGATGTAATCAAATTTAAAACAAAAGCAAAACTTTCCTCGCATCTTTTTCAAAATGCGAAATTTTTTCTTTTGTTTCGTAATAACTAGCGTCCTTATCTTCGTCAGCATTTAGTTTGAATGATAATGATGATGATCGATTTTTTCAAGTTCCTTCTTTTGTTTCATATTTTGTTATGAAGTTGAAAAAAAAAATTTAACATTATCTATTCAAGTGGATAGGAATTCTTTTTTTTTGCAATTATTCAGGAATATAAAATAATGTAACCAGATAAAACAAAAACGTTTTGATAAATCAATAAACACAGACTATAGTGTCTCTGTGTGTGTGTACATTTGTTTTTAATTAAAAACCCACACAACGAGAATTCGAGAAAGAGAAAAAAAATCGACAAAAACTTTATAAAATTTAACTTACCTCCCTTGGAGAACGTACAGCAACATAATTGTCAAAAATTTTCTTTGCACGATGTCGTAATTTACTTGATCGTATTTTTCGATATTCTTCACAGGCTAACCAAAATTCAAGATTTTCATCGGAAAATTCTCGACAAAGAAATGCTCGAAATAATGCTGAACCATCTGTGTTGAAATTTTTTGTTCCCAAGTAATTATAAATTATTGAATTCAATGTATCGATTGACCAAAAAAAAAAAGAATTGCAATTTAAAAATAGAACCGGAAAGAATCAAGGATTAGTTTTTTTTTGGTCATTTCATTAAAATTAAAAAAAAAGAATCGAAAAAAAAATACTTACATCGATTAGCCATTAGATCACGAAATGATTTTGACCATTTTTCCACTTCGTCACGGGATGGCCTTACAGTCGATGCATGTAATGATGAATCTGTATGACGACGACTTAAGAATCGTAATCGTTGTTTCATATCTTCCAGGCCTGATGATCCACTTCCAGACCTAGTGCAAAAAAAAATATAAATATAAATATTAAAATTCAGAATTACAAAAATGAAGAAAATGAAAAATTCATTTTAAATTTGATCGTTTGTTTACTCAATTTTTTTTCATTATTATTACAAACAAATACCACCAACACACACATCATTGATTTGTGTTTGGTGTTTGTACGAAAAAAAAAATCTTTCCAACAAATATTTATCTATTTTTTTTCGTATCGATATTGATTGTCAAAATTTTTGGCATGGAAAATTATTCAAAATACATATAGGGAAAAAAATTCATGCCAACAATCACCATAAAAAACAACAAAAACAACAACAGAATTTTGGTGACAAACTTTTCCTATTTTTATATTTCATTTTCCATTTTAGAATAATAGCCTGAATCTAAATAAACTTTTTTTTTTTATTTTCTCTCGTTGATATTTCGATTTTTTTCACTTTTACTTATGCCTTTTTTTACTGACTAGATTTTCTTTATTTTTTTTTTTTTTTGTTCTACTTTTTTTCTATAAAGATGAAAATTTATTCGTGCTATTCACTTAATTCAGTTGAGAATCTTAAAGTTTTCTTTTTTTAGTAGTTTTTTTTCATTCAACTCTTTTCAGATTCTTTTTCATTGATGGTTTCAAAGAAAAAATCCTTGCGGGCTTTGTCATTACTTTACGTCATGCAAAATAAAAGTTATTTGCATTCAATTACTATACCAGAAAAACAACAACAACAACAACAGCAGCAGGAATGATGGAGAATAAAATTTTCCAGAAAAAAATCTTCAAAATTGAACATTGAAAAAAATTTACTTGTTTACAACCATTCCATTAAATCATTTGCCATTTTATTTGTATACAAATAAAAAAAATAGTCTATAGTGGGAGTTTTTTCAATGGTCCTCAAATTTTTTTTTCAAGGACCAAAAAAAAACAAAAAAAAACACTACAGAATAATTCTAAACATCACATAAGCCATAAAGTTTTTTTTATTTGTCTGAGTGTCTTGTAGTGTGCGTGTTAGTGTCATGACAAAAAATTTTATTTTGATTTTCATAAAACCAAGGTTGTTTTTATTATTATTATCATCAGTATTATTAGTTATCTACCAAAAGAAAAAAAATGAATATTCCTTGAAGATTTCCAATTGAAAAACAAACGATAAATTACTATTTACCTTTCTCATTATTATTATTATTATTATCATCAAAATAAATATCATAATAAAGTGATTGTAACATAGTGAAAAATTCTCATCATTCGTAGAAAGAAAACTTTGTTCTTATTTTCATGTATGTGTGTATGTTTTTTTTCCTGATTAATATGATTGCATTTTGCTGTTAGGTGCTTTTTACCTGTTTACATGTTGTTGTTTTCTGTTTCTGGATGATTATTTGTTTGATACTGGGAATGAATTTCGAATATTCGTGAATGTTTTCTAACTGTTCAAGCCGTTTCAATCTTTGGCCGAATGATCAAAATGTTGGAAGAGAAACAAAACAAAAAAAACGATGGCCACTAGCAAATTAAAAGGAAAAATATGAACACAATTTGATGTTGATTGCTTTTATTTCTCTGACATATCCTGTCCTATAGGACTGTTCTTGAATAAAAGAAAATTTCCGTACATAAATGAGAAAATAAACCGTTTCCTGCAAACATGACTGAATGAAAAGAAAAAAACCAATTGGAGAAATAGGTCGAATGAATAAACAGGTACAATAAAAAAAAATTACAATTTGCCTGATGAACAGCAACAAAAACACACACACAAATGTATTGATCAATTTTTATTGTATTTCATTTTTATCTTAATGCATTGTAGTTAATTTTTTCGCTTCATAAAAATTCATATAGAATGTATTCTAAATGGTAGCAGAATTGGTTTTTTTAGTAATATTTATTGTGATTAATTTCATTACAATCGGATTTATTTAGATGCATTCCGCTGCTGAAACATTACAGTAATAAGCGTATATTACCTTTTAGCTTAATTAAACGAATAATAAACATAATGAAAAACAAAACAATAATAATAATTGGGTGAAAAATAGAGAAAAAACATTTTTCGGTAAATAATAAAAATAAACAAGAAAAAAATGAATGTAAACAACAAATACAATTGTTATTCGTTAGGAGTTAATCTCATCAACGTTAATGATAACAATAATAATAATGAAAACCTAAGCAATTTTTTTTTGAAGAAACTTTAAAACTAATCCAACCTGTCGAAAGAAGAATAAAAGAAAAAGAATTTGATAACAAACATTTAAACAGAAAAATATGAAATTCTTTTATTTTTTCTCATGACAATCATAATATTCTGACATTTTATGATAGCCTATTTAATGTTTGATTGTTTTTCTATGAATCCCATATATGAAATAGAAAAAAAATTGATTGGTACTCTAAAACAAATTGGCCATTTTATTGTCTATTTGTTCAATTTAAGTGTGTGTAGGTAAGCACTAATTGAAAAAAATAGATATAATTTATGATTGTGAAACAATCATGACAACGATAAATAAATATGAATCATTATTGTTGTTATTAGTATTACATATGTTAATTAATTTTTAGTTTTCATTGATTAATTTTAATTTTTTTTTAATATTGAGATTCTATCCAATCAAAGGAATGAGAAAAAAATATATATATCTCAACAACAACCACTTTTATTAATGGCATTATTAATTAAAAAAGATTTTTTTCTTTCATACAAAATACATTTGTTGATTGAAATAAATGTATCTCTAAGGTATTATTGTATAAATTAAACAAACGAATTCAACTTACATTGTATCATGTTGATCATGATCATGATGATGATGATTTTGATGTCGTGTATGATGATGATGATAATGATCCTTTTCATCATCGTTTCCATTATTTCCTGTTGATGATGATGGACGATTTTTTGCTGATTTATCTTTTAGTCTTCGTTTCTTCGTTGTCATATTTCATATTTTTTTTAATGGAAAAAACAAAAACAACAAAATTTAATTCAGACATATATAAAGACATAAGAATAATTTGAGGAAAGTCAACTTCATGAGTGAGTACATCCGTTATAATTCAAGTGAAAAATAATCGTTATTGAACAGATAAAAAAGCAATTGATGGATTCTTTTATGCTGGTTTGAATGGGTAGTAAGGTTTTTTTTCAGTGAAGAAAAGCCAAAACAAAATTACTAATAAATGAACTGTTTATGTACTTATCATGCTTTTCATTTTGATCAAAATTATAGATTCGATAAAAAAAATTATTTGAAATATAGCAAAATTTGAAAAAAAGTGCTGAAATAAGCTAAAAAACTAATTGGATTTTTTGTTGTTGAAAAAAACCATCGAAATGATAAAAATGAACCAATATGGTTTAAAAGCTTCGTAAAAATAGAGAGAAAATAATGATGATTGCCAATAGCAATTTTGAATAAATTAGAAATTTTCACTTTTAATTAGCTAAAATTTTCAACTTTTTCATCAAATTTATCGTTTCAAAATAATTTTTTTATAGAATTCATTGAAATGATATTAATGTATGACTGACAATGGTTTTGTCCATTTGTTTTTTATTCCAGTCAAGATTATAGTCCTATTCGACTAATCAAAACATCATGAGACTTATGATGTTTCATAAATTTTTCATATGAAAAAAAGGAATTTGCAAATGCAAATTTCCGGTGTGTTTGTATAAACTTGAAAAAATAGGAAAGTTTTCATGAAAAAAAATTGGCATTAAATTTTGTATGAGTTTTTGATTCAATACAGTTATCAAAATCATCAAACAAACGGTTCAATGGATTTGAATTCATTTTTATTTTTATTTTTGTTGTTGTCTATAAATGTATAAATAAAAATAGGAAAAAAATGATTTGCCCCATATCGATGAAATTTTTTTTCCATTCTTATTTTCTTTTATTTTTATCTACCTTATTTTGATTTATTTTTGACTTCTTCAATAGAATTTCTTAAAATAGAACATAAACAATGTAACAATTTCACTAGATACATGCTCGAATCGTTAAATAAAAAAAACAAAATAACTAAATGAAAATGAGAGTTTTTTCTGAATGAATAATAATAGAGTGAAAAAAACAAGATTTTCATTTCATTGTTACATTCTCAATGATCAAAGTCAAATATGAATTTGGTAACGTGACTATTGTTTCGTCATCATCCCAAATAACTAATGGATTTTCTATTATCATGCTTATATTTTTTCTTGTTTTATTTGATTTATTCATCTCATATTTAAATGAATGTCAATCGATACGTAAAAAGATGATTAAATGTTAATCATAAAAATAAAGATGATGATTTTCTGTTTTTTTCCATTGACTAAAATGAATATTGGTTTATTGATGTTGAAATTGGTTCAGTGCATCGATAATTTTATTGTGAAAGTTAGGGAAATAGATCCAAAAAGAATGATAAATTGAGAAAGATAAATGAGAAAAAAACGAGAACATCGTATCGTACAAATTCGTTAATAATGACGATAATAAATGAAAACTCTATTTTTTTAATTCCTCTCAATCTATCTTTTGTTTTTTTTTTCTTGCTATATTCTACAATCAAAGAACTAACCTATTTTTCAAAGTTGTTATAATTTGGATGTAAAGAAAAATCCAACGTTTTATTTGTTATTATGTTAAAGTTTTATTATTCTGAAAAAAAGTTTCCAAGTTCAAACTTTCTTAGTTTTTCTGCCCTTCTTTTACATTAAATAAAAATTCTTGAAATTCACATAACCAATCATTGTCATACAACACACAAGCTTAATGATAACCGACAACGATGACAGGAAAACTTTTTTATTCTTTAGTATCATATTAAAACTTTTTAATACAAAAAAAGAATTTTGTATTCTCTCACTTATATATTATTCAGTCTAGCTTCAAGTTTTTCAGTAGGTTTTTAAAGAAATAAAACTATGAACAATTTTTGTCACAAAACAAAATAAATGAAAGTAGACTAAGCTGATCTAAAAGAATCATCATTAAATATATTTATTAATTCTAACTCAATTTTTTTTCTGTTAACAAAAATTTTCAAGACTTCTAAAAATAAAAAGTTTAAAAACAAAAACAAAATCAAACGAACCAAATAATATTCAGACAAAATGGAGAAGAATTATTCTCCTCATCATATTCATTTATTATTATCAACGATAAACATAATATCATTGATTGATTGATTCGGATCAATGAACAAGAAGAAAGAATTTGTTATGAATGTTAAAAAAAAGAGAATCTAAATTCCATAACAAACATTATGTGAAAGATAAAAAAAACAACAAATAAACAAAACAAAAAAAAAGTTTTGTTTCAAAGCTTCAAATTTAATTAATTTATTCTTATCAAATTATAAAGTTCATTTCGCTCAACGCAAAAAACTGATTGTAATAAAAAACCGAAGAGAAAAAAAAGTTCAACTTACCCGTGATTTGGATTTATCCTTACTACTACTATAATGTGATGAATGATTTTGTCCCAATTTTGTTGATGACAAAGGCATCATTGATGATACAGAATTTTCATTTGGTTCATGAGCAAGAAATAATGCATATGATGGTACATCTTTACTAGCACCAGCACTATGTGTACGTCGTAATAATCGAACAAGACGTGTTGCTGATGCCGAAGTAATTTGAGCTATAGAACCTTTACGTTTACGATTCTGTCCACTATTTGCTGCATTTATCGATTTATCACCAACATTATCATCATTATTTGATTGATCTTTAGTTGATGATGAACACATCATTGTTTTTGATTGTTGTTGATGATGATTATCATTGTTTTCATTTTCAATCGAATCATTATTTTCTTCTGAATTATTCGATTCCTTCAGATGATTGGTATTGTTATTATCATTATTATCATGTTTGCAATTAGAAAATAAATAAGAATCAAAAGTAAAAATTTATTAGTGAAACAAAAAAAAAGTTATAACAGGATAGAAATTGATGGCCATAAAAAAGCCTCTGGCGAAATTCTGTTTATTTATTTGTTTTTATTATTGATTATATTGATTATATCGATTATTATTATTATTATGAAACTTACAAAATAACGATCATTATTTAATGATGCACCAAGTTTTTGACATATAGAATCGGGTAATAATAACGATGCTATTATGGCCGTCATACTACTACAGAGATATAAAACGAAATTAAGGTTAAGAATTGATAAATGATTGTTTTTATGACAAAATAAAGATTAACATTTTTGTCATACTTTTTACGTTGTTTTGGCTTTTTCATATTTGTTGTTATAGTTGTTGTTGCTATCGATTCACGGTGATGTCGATTATTTTTATTATTATTATTTTGAGAATGATTATGATCAAAATCATTATTGGTTGAATCAACGACAGCTTTTATTGATTGTTCATTATCTTTAGTATTCGATATTATCGATTTTATTGTTGTATTTGAATTCGATTTGCGACTATCACTACAATTATCTAATGATGTAGCCGTTTTTAAATGTATAAGATTACGACACAATTCATCCACTAATCGTGAATGTTTATTCTTTTTATTATTGACTGTATTTCCAACATTACTGCTGCCCGAATTTGTATCATGTTTATTATTATTATCATCTAAATCCATTTGAATTAGATCATCATAGATGCCATCATCATCACCATCGTCAGGTGAACCTACACCGACACCAATACCAGCAGCAGCTGCAGCCGCAGCTGCTTGTAGCAATGTTGCTGTTGTTGTTTGCTGATGATGTGATGATTTCAGAAATAATTCATCAACCGATAATGTACAATGTTTTGAATGTATTGAATGGCTACTAAATGAAGATTGATCTTCATTTCTATAATTTTTAGTATTCAACAAAAAAAGGTAAACAAAATGAAAAAAAAATTTTGTAAGTGCTATGTTCATTAATTATTCGGCCATGGTCAAGGAACATCATTTATCAAATGTAAAAAAATAAACTTGATGAAAAAAATAATACTCACATGCTATTACTACAGCTAGGACTTGGTGTACTTAATTCGGAAGGACTAAGCCCACCACAACTTGAATTTAATGGTGATCGTGAGCCAGATTCACGACGATGTACATATCTTGGTTCGCCTGGAACTGCCAATGAATATTTACGTTGATAATTCATATTAACAGGTCTAACTGATACATTTGCACGTGTCATACGTGTTTCAACAGCACTTTCTTGACTATATAATGATGTTGCACTATTCATTTCATCATTATTTAAACTACTATAACTACTACAGCTATCTGGTTTAGTTTTATTCGTATTTCCAGAACCACCCGATTGATCTTCTGATTGTCTAGCTGACGATGTATTATTTTCATTAATTTTTTTTGAATCGTCGATGATTCCATCGTCATCTTCAAATGGATCGACATCATTACTATTATTATTATTATTAGTGTTATTAATGAGATTATTATTATTATGAGCCATCGTCATAGTCATCGTTTTTTTATTATTATGATCTGTCGTCGTTGTTGTATTAGTGTCTGTTATGATAGAATTTGCTTTTATTTTCTGTTCTACCAATGAAATCGATTCAGAACAATAATTTGTTCCATTTGATTGAAATTGTTCTTGTTGTTCCAAGATTAAATCAGATTTTTGTTTTGGCTGTTGTGGCTGACAATTCGGTATTTGATCCACAATTGTAGTTGTTGTTAATGTTGTCGGTATGGAAGCTAATGGTGTTGCCGTCAATGTAAATGATGATGACATTATACGTTTTTGTTCAAGATTTGTTTGTGATTGTTGATTATGATTATTATTGGAAATATTCTCAATAGAATTGTGATCAATGTTATTATTGTGATCACTATTAATTGATTCGGTTTTTTCTTTTTCCTAGACAAAGATGAGTTAGAAAAATAGATTATAAAAAACAGATGATTAAATAAATTGTTTAAAAATATTGATAGTATAAAAAATAAAAACTGATCTATTATATTTTATTTTCTTAGTTAAAAAAAATAATGCTATTTCAATGTGTAATTTTGTTAATTAAACATGGTTAAACAAACAAAACGCATCCACACACACAAACATAAACAAACGAACACATTGTTTATTCTAATTCGATATAAAATTTATTATCATCACTTTAATCACCCATTGACCTTCATTACTTTAGTATATTTAGCAATTAACAAAGAATAAAATAGCCTGAACCAGAAGTTTTAATGATTTCTAAATATACTATTATTTTTGTTAATTCGAATAACAACGAATGAAAAAAAAATCGAAATGATAATGAAACTAATCGATGACGACAAATCGACACACACACACACACACACACACGAGACTAGTCATGTGAATGGGTGGGCGTCTGATTCTAATTCCGATTCGATTTGAAATAATAAAACGAATCTTAATCTCTCTTATAGACTTGCTTACATTATACAAAATCGATACAAATACACACACACATGACATTATAATAAAAATCAATGAAAAATACAATTATTTAGTTTACTAAGACGATTTCGTATAAATTTAAGTTTTTTTGGTATTAAAAAATGGGTCATTTGACCTCAAACACTAATACTAAACAGTGTTAATACTACAAAGAGCTTGATAACATTCAACATCCTCACATCACTCATACACACACACATCATTGGAATAACGAGGAAAAAACCAACATCCAAAACAGAAATAATAAAACAAATGAATGGAATGGACATGAACAAGTGATGAAAGTCAAAAAAAACGGCAACAACAACATAAATGAATTATATAACAACAAGGAAGTCCAATCTCAACATTTGTTTTGTTGTACAATTATTCTTAAAACTTGAAAGGAAAAAAAAAGAAAAAAAATCTTACAAGTTTCATTTGAAATTTGTGAATAAGAAACAAAGAGAAAATCAAACAAAAATAACAAAAAATGTTGCGAATAATGAATTCGGAAATGTTGAAAACAAAAGCCAGAAACCAAAAATCAAATAATGATGTCGATGAATGGTAACGATTGACGACATTGATGATGAACAACATACATCAATACAAAATGGTACAAATTTATTATTAGAAAGAATTTTTTTTAAAAAAGGCCAAACAAAACAAAAATGACAAAACGTTTGATTGATCCAGACAAAAATAAACAAACAGACAAAAAAACAATAACAAAAAAGGTTTTGAATGAAAATTAAAATTATAATCACACACACACACATAGATGAATGTACGCACAGAATAACCAACAAGAATTTATTCGACAACAACATGAAAAAAACGAATAATATATGCCATAAGCAGAAACAACAACAACAACAAAACTTTATACGATTCGTTTATGATGATGATAAGCACAAATAAATGCACACACGCACGATTTAAATGTTTGTGACGTAAAACATTACGTTTTTATTTCAAAAATAATAATCAAACAGAAAAAAATCATTGATATTCGTAACAATAATTATTTTCATTCATATGGATAAAATGAAACAAAAAACCTAATAAATAAATACAAATAGTAACAATGAGATTATATTGAAAAAAAAAACATTTACAATATGACAGCTTAAAAACGGAATTGATTGCCTGACTGATTTGAATGAATTATAGAATACATGCTGACAAAAACAGATGCATCTCGATAGATCAATTGAAAAACACAATTGTTTTAAATATTAGAGTGAATTTTTTTTTCGCCTCTTTTTCAATTGAAAAAAATTGAGGATAAAAAATTTAAAAAGATCAATTTTCCACAAAAACCAAAAACGTTTATTAATAGAATCTGATATTATTGAAGAAAAAAACATTTTATCAAGAATTTGATTTGAAGAAGAAATTTTTTTTTCTTTTCATTCATAGTTTCATAATCATACGGAAAATTTTCAATAAAAATAGACATTATGATATTGGCCATTTAATGGTGTTTGGTTCTTATTTTTTTCATTACATTCAATGGTATTAATCAGCATTGATATTTTCCAAATATTCGGTAAATATGTTAGTATATTTTCGATATGTCGACATTTTTTTCATAAAGAAAATGTTTCTATTTTTCAATATATTATATAAAGAAAAAATAGGATTAATAAATATGGATTTTTTCCCCATATTATTTTTCGTCATTTGATTAATTTCCATACATTTTCGTTTTTTTTTCTATAATAATTAATAATGACGATAAAAAAATGAAAAGAATGTCATATGAATAAGATGAACAACCAATGATGCAAAGACTTTTTGAAAAGAAAAAAAATATGACAGATTTTTTTTTTATTACAAGGTAATCATCATAATAGCAGAAGAAAAAAAAATCAGATTCTTTCGCAACATGAATTGTGGTTTAACATATAGAAAATGTGCAAATTCAATAAAATTCCGAACATCAATATCAGAAAAATGACAATGATGTTTGGAAAAAAAACAAAAAAGAATTCCATTTATATAACATTATTACTATCAATCTTACTATTACTAGCAAATAAGGATGGAGTAACATATCGATTTAATTAAATAAAATCAAATCTTGTTTTTTCCATGATAGATCATTGTTTACAGAAATATAACCAAGTATAAATTGTCAAACAAAAGGAAGGAATATACTGAAAGAAGGAAGAAAAAAGATAATTTTTTTCCCATGTGTATAAGTATGTGCGTGCATAAAACTTAATCCGAAACATTATAAACAATAAGAAGAAGGAAAGGCTATTGTTTAGTACGATAACTATTATTGAATTGAAATTTTTTACCATCTTATTCGATAATGATTAATTTCGCAAAGAGGATTGAAGAATTTGACAAAAATGATAAAAGAACAAAAAAAAACAATTGTAAAAACAAACTTTTATTTGGAAAAAATAACCTTTTTGCTCGAATGACAAAGTAAAAGATGAAAAAGAATCTACGAAGGAAATAAAAGAAAATCAACTTTGATATTTCCAAAAAAAAACCAAAAATCCCATATAAAAGAACCAAACATTTTATTTCTGATACTATCCTAATGATAATGAATGAATCAAATAATTGGATGAACGTAGAATGAAGCAAAAAAAAGTTAATTAAAATTTGCTCTGAAAAAAATGTCTTTAGACCGTTTCTATATTATTTTGTCACCACTTTGCCACGATAATCGCATTTGTTTTCAATAATGGTTTTCGCAAAAAAAATTTTTTTTTTTTGATAAAATAATTATAATTTCCAAGAAATGTTATATATCATCTGTATGTATTCTATAAACATTTTCATAATGATAAATGAATTGAATAAGATTAATTTTTAAAATTCTTTATTGAAAAAAATTCTGGGGACCCATAATGGAAAAAAAGTTAAAATTTTTGCTCTATTTTTCTTTCGAAAATTTTGATGAAAATTTAATTTCATCATTATTATATCATCTAAAGAAATGACCAGTTAAAACATTTTCAATTTCCGATTTTTTTAGTTTGAAAATTTCTGTAATATTTTTATATTTACAATCGTTTTTCCGGTTTTCCGAAAAAAAACAAAATTAACCATGATGAAGTTCGCTAGAGGAAAAAATAGATAATAATGATGAAAAAAACTTGGCTAAAATTCTTTGCACGAATAACATCTAATACTTTCACCATCTCATTTGTTTGTTTTTTATTTTGAAACAAAAACTTAATATAATACTATCACTAATAATAATGATCTAATCCAACTAGACAAGCATTATTATAAACATATGAAAATAACATGGCTTAAAGATGTAATGATTTATTCAAGTTATTATAATATATTTATAAATAAGGAGATAAACAAAAAATAAAATACAACCAAAATTTAGTTGGCTATTTGTTTCATGATCCAAAAGAAAAAGTTTTTCATACGCACTAACACAAACATACACGAAAACAATGACATATAAACAAGTAAAAAAAACATGGAGATGAAAATGGAAAGATCTATTTTTTTTTCTTGAATAAAAATAGCCGAAAAAAGACAAGAATAAGATTCATTAGATTCATAGAAAATGGGAAATACAAAAATAAAATAAAAATAATCTAGTGAGTTTGTAAAACACAAAATCCGACAGTATTAATCTTGATGATATTCTCGAATATACCAGAAACTGAAAAAAAATGAAAGAGAAAAAAACTAAAATAATATGAAATGAAAATAAAACTGATTTGCACCGAAACTTTAAGAAAATGAAATGGAAATCTATTTCAATTTATATTATGTGGCCCTCGTTAATAAAAAAAAAAAATTGTACAAATGGATAAATGAACGGATTACAAAACAGATGGAAAAATCTATTTTCCATTTTATTTCATTTTTTTTTATATTCTGGTTTGATACAATAAAAAATCGTAAAGATTAAAAAAAAATAGAATCATAACAATCTGTGTGTGCATTTACAATATTGGCATTTGGTTTAAAATAAGCAGTTGAACTAACCCTTTTTAGTTAATGTTAGTTCAGAAAATTGAATAATTTTATTTTTTTCACATCATTTGTCTTCATCCAACTTATTCTTCGTCCGAAATAGCAAACGTTTTTTTATTATGGCAAAAGCTTCTCTTTCCTTTTTCGCATCTTTATTTTGTTGTTGTTGTTGTGATTTGTAATAAAATTTTTGTTGTTTTTCTGTAAATTAATGTGGCCTTAAGATTCAAAACATTGAAAGAAAAACAACAATAATTTTCTTTGGTATAACACCAATCTGGAAATGAAAGTTTCATCAGCAAAATTCTTTCACAACTTTTGATATTCATTTATTTGTCAACAAGACTGGAAAAAATCCAAAATAAAATAGACACAATAAATATACAGCAAAAAAAGAAAGAAGAAAGAAAAATTTTTAATGGAAAATAACAACAACAACAACAATACTAATAAATAAATGCAAATCCTGTGCAATG